TTCCTAATGACCTCAGTAGATGCCCCATTAACGCGTCTAGAATCGATAGAACGACTTCTCTGAACCTTAATGATAGGGTTCCTTCTCACAAAGGCATAGATCCAGCCTTTTCCCAGTGGTTTGGTATCCCCAGCAGCAGCCAGAACTCGCTCTGCGAATTCCTTCACCTGTTGGTGCGTTGGTGCGAGGCCCAGCGAAGCCTGAATGCGAACCCATTGTGCCAGCTTACTCTCCTGGTCAGGAGACAGCCTCTGCCAGTCAGCAAAAGCCACTTTCCTAGTCTGACCACCTTGGAGACGTAGTTGGAGGGTTGATCGTGGTATCCCATACTCCAATGAGGCTCTCTTTTGACTCTTGCCGTTTGAGATGTCCTCGAGAGCCTGACGAAGCTGATCTTCGGTATATTGAGGCATTAGATATAGAAGAAGGTATGTGCAAAAGATGAGCCCATTTGGACGCGAATTGAAAATGTTGTGATGAAAGGAGGTTGGGGGTGGGCATTGGGTTGTGGTGGATTTTCGCGTTTTTGTGGGTGCCAGAAACAGGGGGGTGCCAGGAAGTGGGGGGTTTGACTTATATATTATAGGCTTTCTTATTCCGAAGCGGGCTTTCAGGCGATAAACGCGCAAAGACGTATAGATCCTTTAAGGCCACCCGGTTTATAGCTTGTTTTATGGCTTATTTAGCTAGCGTTAGTTTATCCTGTCTTCTAGATAGTAGCTAGCTCGCCACCGCCGTATATAAACGGACTAGGGGCGGCTAGTTCTGGGTTGTGTACGAGGGATGCCCCTAGGAACTCAGGTCAGTCTCGCTAGGCCCTATGCCAATAACGTATATAGACCTTACTAGACCACGTTAATGCCGGTTTAAACGCTATTTCTCCTCCTAAAGCTCTCTCTCCAAGAATTCGATCTTCGTCAAACAGTCCTTCAAAAACTATTCCCTCTCGGCGTCCCGACATAGGAGGTCCTAGACAAGATTCGCAAGCTTATTAATCTCGTCTTTAAGCTCAGAATTGTCCTGGTGGTTAACCTGCTGAACCACTCTGACCTTTGTAATCGGCTTCCGGACTCGTCCCGACCGCCGAGATATACCGGCGTCCCCGTGAACCGTGATCGATGGCCCTATATCTAGGGAGACTGCTATAGTCGTGGAATTCAGCTCGTATGGGCTGATGTTAAGAGATGATAGTGCAGTGGGCCGTAGCCCTCTATAACCTTAACAGTTACTAACAGTGGGTACCTTTCGAGGTATGTGTTCAGAAGTTGCACGCCATGACTCGGTTGGATATGTCCCATATCCAACATATCCTTATCCCTTATCATATCTCTTATCATCACGTGACATGTACCATAGTTCTTCCGTTCCTGGGGTTTTCCCAATGTTCCGTCCCGTCCTGCAGCCGGACTGGCAGACAGCCCTCGCCAGGGTCGGCTACGAACCTAATAAGACCAAAGAAGAACAGGCCCTCTCCTTTGCAGGCAGGATGGCAACTTTCTCCAAGCGGGACATTGTTGTCTACACTGACGGGTCCCAGATGTCGGACGGCAGCAGCACCTCCGCCGGAGCAGGCTGGGTAGGGTACCAAGCTACACGGCAGATCTTCCGCGGATCCGAACCACTCGGCTCCCAAACTGAGGTGTATGACGCGGAGGCACATGCTGCGTATCACGGCCTGATGGAAGCCACCCGGGCTCCTACGGCTCGTATGGCAGATAACGTCCACATCTGCCTCGACAACCTCGCAGTCGCGGCTAGACTATACTCCCAGAGCACAGGAAGCAGCCAGGCTAGATTTAGGGCCTTCAATAGGCTCTCTTCCTCCTGGACTCGGAGACAAAGAGAGAGCTGGACAACCCCCGGCAGGGTTTATGTTTGGTGGTGCCCTGGGCACACGGGAGTACCAGGAAATGAAGAAGCGGATGCTCTAGCCAAGGAAGCCTGCAAACTAATCCCAAAATCACAACCACAGCCCTCATTAGCGCACCTAGAAAGGCAAGCTAAAGCAGCTGCCTTCCAAGCCTTTGCCAGAAAATGGCTGTCCCAATGCCCTCGGCAATATGCCGACCTCGAGATAATTCTTCACCCCAAGCCGCCCGAACTCCGCCTCCCTCGGCACTTACTAGGAAGGCTATACGCAGCAAGATCCCATCATGGAGACTTTGCAGCATACCACGAGAGATTCGCTCATCAAGATGCGTTGCTCAACTGCAGCTGTGGGAAACCCAAGACACCAGTCCATTTCTACTTCTGCAAGCGTGGACGCAAGGCTACACCGCGCTACCTCCGCCAACGTATGGCCAAAGCAAGCATTGATTTCTTGTTAGGTTCTGCTAAGGGAGCCTCTCTTCTATGCGAATGGATAGAGGAGACCAATTTCTTTTCCGAAATTTGCCCGAGTCATTGAACAGGAACGTTAGGTGAAGACGGTAGCCTGTAATATAGTTTAGATTAGCATAGACCATGTCGGCATAGCGCCCGGCACGTCCTTTTGTTACCAGACGTTAAATACATCATCATCATCATCATCATCCCGTCCTGCAGCAGAACTTCTGAACACATACCTCACTACGACTAGCTGGCCGTAACACGAGAGAGCCCCTTTTGTATGCCCATACCCCTGTCTACCCCTTATCTCTACCCCTGAGATATCCACTGCTATACCTCTTTCGTGACAAATCCATAGTATCCTTTGCATAAAGTATATAATCAGAATGTCGCTAGTTCAGAAGCATTGTCCATTGACCAGTCAGGTCGCTGAGTCCTCTGGGCAACTGCTAGGTATTGGATGCAGACTCTCTTCATTCTGTGTCGTTTGGACTGCCCGTCAGCCGCATTCGAATGCAACTATTCTTCACATTAGGCATTGGTGTTTTAGCCAAGTGTCGTCTTTAAACTGGATTATGTGCCTTTGGCTTGACGCCCTCATCTTTCAGTAAGTCTCGTATTCCTCATTGCCCTACGGAAAGCTTACATTAGCCACGCTATAGTATCAGAATTCTGCTCTTTCACGCAAGTCATAAGAGTGTTGCTAAATCCTCCATAGCTTACTCTATAGCATCGATCTATGATGAACATTTCTATCCCATCGGAATAGCTAGAATTGGTGAGGAATATAACCTCCTTTCAATCCCTCTGTTTGTGCAACGGCGTATTGGTGAGCCCCTTGCCTATAGACCAGCGTCGCCAAAATGTTGATAGCAAGCTCACCATTCAACGCAGTGGGTTCATCATCTTTCCTGAACCTCGAAGCCAAACACTGGAGGGAATCAGTACGCTGTTCGAGGGGCCTCTGCTGTCATGTCCCTGCGAAAGGCAGCAGGCAAGATCGGTGCAGGCTATGCCCACTCTACAGGGCCAACCACAGAGAAGATGCCTTTGAAACTATCGAGCCAGCCGTTTCCCATAAGAAGTGAGGAAAGAAAACCTTCTGTATTCTCCAGCACGCATTCTCAGAAATCATCATACGTCGCTTTGCAACAAGGTCCCTGTTGACAAATAAATAGCAAGTTAGACAAAAACAAGGTAGGACTAAGGACACGTATCTAGCGGCAAGCTCTTGGTCCGTGGTCTACCTGTAGCCTTTGATAGACGACACCGTGGAATTCAGAACGGGATTGCCCAGGGCTACACTCGCGGCAACGCCATGCTGGTTAGGTCGACGTTTCCTGCGAAACTTGGCGCATTCGATATGTACCCCGTTAATGTTTGCAACAGATCAATAGAACAAACCATGAGCCGATAGGCAATTCGGGAACAAGTCACAAGTCAAGCAATGTGGAACAATGAAGGGGGTTTACCGGCACATCAAAAGACGGTAGCAAGCATCAGGCCTCGTCAGCGCCTTGCACCAAAGTTGTGCAAGAGGATCAGAGTCTCCATGAGTGGGCCAGCCAAGTGTACACGGAAGTAGAAGCGCAAAGCGGGAACTTGAAGACAGTTTTGGAATGAGCCGCTCTCAGCCGAATAGGAAGGATTAAATCAATCAACCAAGTCTAGCTCTATGTATCCCTGTGGGGTTTCCACTGTTGGTCATATCTTACTGGTCGTAACAACCCGCTTTCGTCGACTAAATGACCCCGTATAGTAAGCTGCCTTGTTGCTTTGAGTTGAGGTCTCTGACTTACCATCTGCTTACAACTCTTGATAGGATTCGTGCGGATTCAATGGAAGCACTCGGATAGTCTGGACTATCCTGTATAGTAAGCCGAACGGAGGGGCAACTTTCGATTTGCTGCGCTATTACAGGTCTCAGGAGCAGAAAGTGCGCGATTTTACTTTAGGCTAACAATCCATCATCTGCGATGTCACATCGTATATGTCTGGGCAGGCCGCTGGTCTATGTCAAGAAAGAGATACTACTGAAATTCTCTCGGCGTAAGCGCTATAGGCACCCAAAAGGGCAGTTATTGTAAACTCGCAGGCCGCTGCTTCAAGGATCAATGCCAAGAAGCGGGCAGATGAGAAGCATGTCTTGGAAGAAAGGACCTCACAAACTCGATTTATTCGTCGGTCAATTGCCAGACCGCACGCACAAGTGAGTAGTAGCTGAGGACAATAATTGCGACAAGCGATTAAGGAAGGTACATGTAGATTTCGAGTAACTTAGGTTACGAGAGGAGAATGGCACAGCATTAAGAACACCGTAACCTGGTCCTTTCAATAGATGTGGAAGAGGGAAAAGCCCATGAGCTACGAGGAAAGTTTGGGTTGGGTGGTGGCGATGCCCTCACTTGTCGACAGATACATGCGATACTACAAACCATCGTAAGCCAGCAGCTGACGCCCCATCTGCAAGGTAGTCAGACGGCACAGGAGGAGCGGGCCACCGCATCATGATGCCACCGAGGATTAGACGCCTCTTTCTCCTGTCCAGCACGAGAGGGGCCATAGTAGCTTTGGCAAGAAATAGTATAAAGCCAAGTGCTCCCTCCCCCATGATTTTGTTTGTTCTCTTCATCGCCATCAGCTCCTTGCCTTTCGAACTCAGCAGCATTACACAAACACCACTACCAATTTCATTCAATATGCACGTCTCGTCGCTCCTTGTAGCTCTCGCGGCCACCGCGTCAGCCATCGACATCAGGGCTCACACTGGCGATAACTGCGCCGGGGGCTCGGTTGCCTGCACGGGCATCAACCCTAACGTATGCTGCTCGTTCAGCAGCTCGGCAAGCAGCGGCAGGTCGAGCATTGCTGTGGTTGCCGTGAGTTAAACCCAGTTTCCTTTGCTTATAAAATTTTCAGGACTAATCTATTTTGTAAACAGATCCCGAGTAACTGGCGCATCCGCTGTGAGGCGTACACGGGCGGCGGCTGCTCCTTCTTCGGGGGTCAGCGCGACTCGGGCGGTAGCACGAGCGTCTGTCTGCCCTACACGACGCGTGGAGATCGTACGGGGGGCAAGTACTGGTTCCTCAACCGCAAGCGCGCCGTCGACGAGTCGTGCCTCGCTGAGCAGCCCAATGCCGGGGAATGCGAGGCCTTCGTCAAGCCCGATACTCTCGGTCTCGCAGACGGCACGGACTATGACATCACCGGCCTAACGGATGAAAAGGTTCAGGAGTTTGTAAGTTGGATTTAGCTCTGAAAGAAAGATGACTATGGGCATCGCATTTGTACTAGATGCTAATCTGTTTGCTCCACTTCAAGGAGAACATTGCCAACACCGGCGCAGGTGCCGACGCGGTACCCGCCGAGTTCCAGAGTCTACGCAAGACAGAGGCCTAAGGCTACACATGAGCCCATTGATGATAGTTTGTATCGTGAAGGAAATTTGGAACAAGCAATAACGGACTGGAAGTACAGCAATGACAATGGTGCTTGGGGTAACGCTCAACTGGTATCTGGACGCTGTCAATTTAGCAACTACATGGTCAGCTATAGTGAACCAAGAAAACTAAAGTTTTGGCGGGAAATGATGGTTCTTGCTCAACTGTGATGTTTCAACACCTCTATCACGAGCGTATGCGCCATAACGCCCCCCGAAGACATTCCTCGCTTCATAAGTAACCTGGGGTACACATATTACTGATCCCAAGGGCCAACACTCATCTCTACGAAGAAGAAAGACGCGTACTCCCATTGAGCATTTTTACCGAGAAGCCTTCTAGGAACAGCCAAATCAATCGAACAACCACGTGCTACATGAACCTTGGCATCATTGGTATCATCCAAAGGAAGGAATGTTTGGAAGTGGAACACCCGATGAACTGATGGCATTTCTATCAGCAACATTTCTTCCGACTAGTGAGAAGATTACCTGAAGTATCTCTTAGTCTAAAGCTATCAAACTCCGAGGGATCCGAAGGCGCAGCGGGCCTGCTCTTCGAGTCAGGATCGTACTTTGATGCATCTTGACTTCCTCGCTCCAGTATATTCCTTTACCTTAGACTATAGCCTCGATTCAGAATCCCTGTACAGTTCAACATGTGCAACTTCTTAACTTTGACTCATTCCCAGCTTTACGAGCTTTCGTATCTTCGCTTGTCGGGATGTAGCCGTACCCAGTCCTTTGCGAAACCGCCAGTTACGTCGGCATCGACACACCCGTCGCGATACAAGGCCTCTGGGCCTTACCCTACTGCTGCAGCATTACTTTGAACCTGAAATCTGACGAGATCCAGATTTTCTACCCATGATCAGTGTCTCCTGCCTACATGTAGTAGGATGTCATCTTGCGACAAGGACGGTAGCCTGTTTCATGGACTTCTTTGTGGCCACGAGGACAAGTTTTGCGGCTCTTCTTTCGCCACGAAGCCGCGGTTGAAGAACTGTGTGGTATGGAAGCAATTCCAGACGGAGATGTGCGACCTGTGGCTCTGGGACGTTTGAGACTTTGCTGTTGAAGAGGACATGTATAATCAGCATACGTTTCACGAAGTGGTCTACATGCTATGCGATGAACGTTTTCCCCCTTCACAATTTAGATGGTCTAATGTTGACGCGATAAAGAAGTCACATTAGGTCGATGTTGGTGACTTGGCGAAGACCAAATATGCGATGGTTGAAATGGCCGTCGGCATGATGGCGCTGTGGTACTCAAAGAGTAGATAGGCGTGACAGTAAGCTGCTGACTCTGAAGTGCGTCGCGGGACTAATATCGTTTTATGAATCTGTACTTTAATAGAGTTCGAGATCTCCCTTCTAAGCATTGCGGGCCGAGCCTGTGATAGGCAAACTGTGTTATACAACCTTGGAGTCAAGCCAATGCGACTTCAGCTCGGTCCACCTACGCACAGATCTCCCAGTACGCCTCGAATGCGATCCACTGGCGGCATGTCTCTTCCGTGCTGTAGCATGGACATTGTGCCATCGTCCTCGGTGAAACCCGAAAACAGGTTATTCCGATTTTACCGAGGCCACCGTTGCACATATGCTGACTTTTGAGGCTTGTTCATTGGCCAGTCACAATCGAGGAACGGTTCCGAGCTCCCCCGCTGAGGCTGAGGTCTCGGCATAGGCCCCCTGATCGGGAACGTCTTCCATCGTGGGGTTCCCTGAAGAAGAACGCAGGGGTCAGAGTCAATTTCGTATCACGCACTTGTACGCTCGTTCTGGTACTCAACGCGGCCATGCGTACGAAAGTGGAATCGCGTAAAGATGATCACCGTGACAAAAGAACTTTAGGGGACCACAATGCTTACCTACTTGATTACTTGATAGCCTGAGAAGAAGACAGGAGAAAACGTAGAAAGACTTATTAGCTTTGGTCGTCCACCCAGTGTTGTGAGCGAAGCTACTCAAGCTTTACATGTTGCTTCCTTACTCCATCTCTGGACTTCACTCATTGTTTGCCTTCTTCCGTCCTCGCTGTCTCTCATTTTGCCCATCATGCTTTTCAAATCCACATTCGTTCTCTCTCTCGCTTTCGCAGCGGACGCATTCGCTGTTAGACGCGGAGCCAATGATTGGTTTGCGCCTACTTCTGCCGATCGTAAGACTAGGGATCAGATGAACGTACTGTTTTGAGCTCTTGTTGACACTTCTCAGGTCGCAGCCCCTGTCCAATGGTGAACACTCTTGCAAACCACGGATACCTCCCCCGTAGTGGCTTGAATATCTCTCTTGCAGACCTCATTGCCGGCTTTACGGCAGCCGTCAATCTCGATCCCGCTGCTACCACGTTGGTCGGACAAAAGGCTCTCCTCACGTCCACGACTGGCAATAACGCGACATTCAACCTGGACGATCTCAATACCCATGGAAGTAAGTTGATTCGGTCGTGATATGTATGCATAGTCTAATGTCGGTGGTAGTCATCGAACATGACGGTAGTCTAAGCCGTAATGACATTTATTTTGGCGACAACCACTCGTTCAATGAGACCATTTGGGAAGGGGTGGCATCCCAATTCACAAACACCACCATCAGCATCCCGACAGCAGCTAAGGCGAGGGTGTCGCGCCTGCAAGCCGCTGCTGCTGCGAACCCTGAGTTCAACCTGACAGCCGATGGTACCCAGTTCAGCTTCATTGAGACGGCTCTCTATCTCTCTGTTTTTGGAAACCTAGAGGATGGTAATGCCGACACTGAATGGGTGAAGGTCTTATTCAGTATGTCCAGCCTTGCCCTGCCATTTCCGTTGTTTCTATGCTGACGCAAGACACTTAGCACAAGAACGTCTGCCATTCCAGGAGGGATTCTCAAGGGCAAGCTCTCCAATTACTGCAGCGGGAATCCTGGGCCTGGTTGCTAAAGTTGCAGCTGCAAGTGTGTAATTTGATCTCCTCGGCCGTTGCAACGGGTGGATTGTAGCTTCGACACTAGGATCCTCCAGCGGGCTCTTCTCCTTATCCACATAAGTAGATGTATTTTGGCTGTCAATTTTTGACAGGTACTTACTAAAGTTTACAAAATTTCAAGCTATAAATTGCAGTTGCTTTCAAGAGGACAATCCCAACCCTTGGCGTACTTGCTTCACGCATTCCATGACATAACATACCTACTTAATGATCGACCACAACATATACCCGGCGTACAGGAATCCAGGATATCGCCACTCCTTGAAATCCATGTCTGATCGTCGGTTATCTTCAGGCGTAAGCGCTTATTAGGCCGCTAACATTATATGTACTTAGCTGAAAGATCCACTGGGAGGGTGTTCCGGTAAAGCAACGATTGATGTAGTGACCACTGCCCACTAGTAAGTAGCTTGTCTCCCACTGTCTCCCCTAAGTAGGAGACCCGTATGAGGGTCGTATCTATATACCGTACGAGGCGGGCAATCTGCTCGTGGAAAGTGGTATCGTGCAGCACTCATTTGCAGCGCCACACATGGCGCTGCGACACTATTATCATCCAAGGTTCAAGCGGGGTGACATTCAGGAGTGCTCAGAAAAGGTCCAGGAAGCGTATCTCCATTGTGCATTTCATTATCGACACTATTGTAAGTGAAAGGAAATCACGCTGGTAGCAAAGGTGCCCAGGAGTAGGCCAAGTGTAGTGTTGTCCTTCGAACACTATTGGCCAAGGGTACGAGGGTGTGTATGGCAAGGCAGAGCACAAGTAGAAACTGGCTCCCTCGGTTCAACATCAACCATCAACCCGTCATGCTGCCACGATCTGTTGAGTAAACACATTGCTTCTGACAAGGATAATGCCTCGATGCCGATCATATACCCAGCTTCCATTGCTGTAGTGGGTCACGATACGGTAGATTCCTTGATATGCATCACCATCTCAAGAACATCGACCCGCCAGTGTTCATGCGCATGTGACCATAATTCTTAGTATTCTCAACATTTTGCATGTGTCAGCTTGTCTTGCGATGCCTATCTGGAGCTGTGCACTGTAATATACCTACCTCAGGTACATGCACGGTTGGGTCTGCCATCTCCGCCAACACAGACCAACATGTGACGGAGGATCAGCCAGACGGCCACTGGCCAGAAGAGCCAATGTGATCAGTGACAGTTTCTCTGATGTTTGAGATGAAAGGTCCCCAAGAGTTCTCTTCCTTTACTCATGTATTATCGCGGCTCACGCGCTTTGATTACGACGGCATCTGTAGCGCTCAGCTCGCACAAGGATGTATCAAGAACACTCTAACATCAAATGATACTATTCTTCGATAGCCTCGGCTGTTTGATGAAACCTGTCAACTTAGCCCAGATGCGATGCTTCGCACAGCTTCGCATAGCTTCGCATAGCCACACCGAGCCTCGGGACAATTTCCGACCACATGAAACACTCATGGCTGTACGAGCCGGCAAGATGGTGATACTGGCCCAAGCCCAACGCATCTTCAATCAGGTGTCAATATAGGAATGCTGTCAATACTACATAGGGGTCTGACGTGTTGTCCGAGCTTAATTCAATGTGGGGGTGAAACACGTGAACGCAGAAGTGCCGAGGACAATCATCAGATGAAACTATATATATGGAGTGTGTATATCACGCTTAACTATCCCTAGAAACCAAATCGCAGTGATCTCAGTGTAACCATCTCCTCAGCATCTTTCGGGAGCATTACGCCAGCATGTCTTCTACACTCACAGCAACTACAGCGACCCAGAGTCAGACTATCAGGGTTGAAAGCAAAGATCCTATGAAGTCAACCTGGCGTCGCAGTGACAAACGTACGTGGAAAATTGGCCACTGGATTATCGAACGACTTGGGCTCTACCATGAAGAGCTCGACCAATCTGCGCCGGTCCATTCGAAAGCCGATTCGGTGCCTTACGTCCCACATTGGCAATTCCATCGGTGGATACTGCTGCACGCAACCATACCGCTCCTTCTTCACCAAGCTTTCGTATCCTCCACAGGATATAACGTTCACCCAGTAGCGGCCTTCATATTCTACAGTGTGGCAATCAAGGCTGTCGCTATCCATCAAATCAATATAATGCGCGGTCTCGGTCAACGCTACGGATTCCTCGATGGCGACAAACACGAACGCGACGGTGTCCCCGACAAAAGCGTCAAAACAGTCTTGGGGTCACTTATATCGACTGCCACGTTTCGATCGATGATGGCTGTGATTCTCTCGTACCGCCGGGAAGAGGCTCCAACTACAATAAACTGGATGCTTCTTCCTCTCGAAATCGGTCTCTATGGTGTTGTCTTGGACTTTTGGTTCTATTGGTATCACCGTCTTATGCATGAGGTCGACTCGTTGTGGAAGTACCACAAGACACATCACCTCACGAAACACCCGAACCCTCTTCTTACACTCTTTGCGGATAGCGAACAAGAGTTCTGGGACATCGCCGGCATTCCCTTCTTGACGTGGGCCACGCTTAGGCTCATGGGACTGCCCATGGGATTTTACGAATGGTGGTTCTGCCAGGAGTATGTCATATTCACTGAATTGACGGGACATAGCGGACTGCGTCTTTATGCCACATCTCCAACACCTTTCGCTTGGCCGCTTCAGTTCTTTAACTGCGAGTTAGTCCTCGAGGATCATGACCTCCATCATCGAAAAGGCTGGAAAGCTAGCGGCAATTATGGCAAGCACACCCGGTTGTGGGATCGCATTTTCGGAACGTGTATGGACAGAATTGAATGCGGTGCCGATTCCGCAGACTACACAAATACCGCTGTTATTCCATTATTGTAAATCCGAGGGCTGTCGCTTTTGGAAATCCACCGATCCTTCGATTCCACTTCAACGGGATAAGCGAGCTGCCGCTGGAGGTGAAGGAAAGAAAACGTGCTAAAGATGTTGTTTGGGAAAATAAAGCGGAGTAATAGGAGGCAGCGACATATTATCGCACAGTTAGCGATGCAATATGTGCTACCAATTGTTAGAGGTCTAGAGCAGCCAAACAAAGTGTGACTTTCTATGCACTGCAATATGTGCTCAGCGTAATCAGAAAAGGGTGAGGTTTTTTTGAGAACTAAGAAAATCCGTGGAGATAGGTACACCTTCTCTCAGACGGGGCCTGTTCCAAAAGTTAGATAACAGATTGATCGCGCGCATGTGGTGACGCGTGGAGCCAACAACATTTTCTGCCCCCCGCCGGCCTGTCCTACCAAGTTCTCAGGGGATACACGAATAAACGCATATGAGGCTGTGATACTTTTCTCCAAATGAAAACAACTTGTCATATCCCTGCTGCCTGAACCCTGACTCGGTTCCTCCGGCCGTCTCAGTGTGAAGACATATCCAGCAAGGCATTTTCTATCCTCCAAGAAACAGCTTACTACAGTTACGTACCTTTCTGGACAACCATGTGTTTTGGAGGATATATGAGTCGTCCGATTACATTGGATAGGTTACAGTCTATGTCGTCTGTAGGCTAAGTAGGCTCACTCGACGTTCCGCGAAAATAGGTGCAACATCGGAAAAGGGCCGTGCTTCCAACCCAAGATGAGGACATTATAATATACCTTTGCATGGCCCCTAACAAGCGTAATAGGGAATTTGTTTCCGCGCCATGCGGCAAGATCGAACAGGTTTAAAGTTCGGAGTTCGAATGAATTGACGCCAAGCTACTCTCGCATTCGGGATCACCGGGCAATGGTAAACTTCAGTGGTGGCCAGAGCATGACAACACGAGGCAATCAGAAATTATATGCCCCACCCCGGCCCGTATACACGAAAGTCAAAGACTCGGTGATCTACGACCCAGGTTACAACATCATGGTATAAGAACCTCAGGGCAGGCGCTCATAAATAAATGACTTCTCTTCTGCCATCTGCAACCCGTCACTCGCTTTCCACCACTCCCTACATCTCCTACATTGAAATAATATTCAAAATGCGTGCCTTCACCGTCGCTGCTGCCCTTCTCATTGCTGGAGCCCAGGCTGCTCCTGCTCTTGAGAGCCGTCAGGTTGTCTACGGATGGTAAGCGGCCCTATCACTCATTTCTCACGAGACCGAACTGATGATAATTTCATAGTTACTTCTCTGGCGATGGTATCAACAACCAATACGTCAGTGTCGGCCACGACATTAATGTTACCGATGCTAGCGGCAACACCCGTAACCTTGACTGCGGCACAACTTCCCAGCAACTTGTTCCCAACGTCTTCGCCAAGTGCACTGTGGACAAGAAGCAGCCCGCCGGGATTACCGCTAACGAGTCCGACAAGAAGTAAGAATTGTGGTCACCGAAGCGAAAGCACGTAACTAATGAAAATCCTCACAGCGCTATCAACTGCCCGGTTTCTAAGAGCAAGGTTACCTGCTAGACTCTTCACTGTCAAGTACCAGCCTATGAGTCGGAAGAGATTTAATCTTAATTGAGTACTCTTGGAATCTTAAAGCAAATTATAGCCATACAGTTCTCGCACCATGTTGTCCCAAGCTTGACACTCGCCAGGCACTACCTATGGATAACGGCAATCCCATACCGCACGTACTGTCAGTCCCTACTGATCTAAGTTTTGAACCTTCTCGTCTATCTAGTCGTAGCAGAGTGTTATTATGTGTTGGTTCACGGGGTCGTATACGACAAATAGTGGTAGCAATTATCACTCGTCTGTTGGTGATCCTATTGCTTGTTCGTCTTGTTTTTCTATCTTACATTGTAGGCAGGAGTCGGTCGAAGTAGGTAGTGACGGCCTGGGTGGTTGCCCCACCTTTATCCGGCCGTGATGACTAAGCCAGTTGTCCCCCTTCGCCCAGGGCAGGTGCCAGCCAGCCCATGGTACCTGCCTATTACTCCTTATCAGCCTTTGCTGTTCCAACATTATGTAATTAATACATACCTGAGGATCATAATCTTATTCTTCGTCTACAAAGGTTTTTAGATATTTATACGCAAATGAGAGTAGGGATTTGAAGGGCCTGTAAAAGTTCGAATGAAGCTTGGGTGTGTAGAGTTTATGTTAAACCTGCCAGGGCTGAAAGTTGTTTCGAAGTGTTCTAGAAGCATGTTCTTTCTCTCCACAAGATGATAGGAGTTCGTCTGCGTATAGCTGCCAACGCTCTTTCAGAGTAGGTTGAGTTTCGGCATCCTGCTCTACTGTTCCGAATGGTAAGTACTACTGTACTTAGAACTATGACCTTAAAACCCGAGATTGCGGATGTGTATCATAGGACTTGACGAACTTGCCATACCAGTGTCACTAGGATGTTACAGCCTTGGGCAACGTACATAATAGCTGCGCAGCTCTCGTTTTATACAATGAATACGAATTGCAATTTCACTGTTATCGACTTGGTCCAATACAACCTCCACGAAACATCTCTCCAGCTTGGCACGGGCTGTTAGTGCCATGCTGAGGAGGGGCCCCAGTCCCCGCGGTTTGCCGCTGCGCGCTGGGGTGGATTAGCTGTACGCTAATCAAACCCTTAACAACGCACATCTTCCCCTCGAATCGAGCCGACGATTATTCAACCTAACGAGCCGCCGTCGACTCGAATTCGCCTTCCGCAGGCTAGATGAAGTCTTCCTGGTAGGGCAGGGAGCAGAGGTTCCATCTAGTCTCCCGAAGGAGACGGACGACTTTCTTTCCCGGCGCAAGTGGCGCTTCCGGGCCCAAATTGAACATCACCGACCGACTTTTCGACTTCGCTCTCTCAGCACCTTTGCCCCTTGAACGATCGAAGACTCCCTCGAAGAGACGAAACGACCATTGGGTAGCGATGTATAGCCACGGCTATATACAGCTATGCTCGTTACAGAACCTAACAGCACGCCCTACAACCTAGTCTTACGAGGTTTTGCCCCTTGTGGTTTCCCTTGTGGCGGTATTATTACCTATTACGATATACCTCGGACGGTTACTAGAACGTTGTGTAAACCAGAAGCCTGCGGGCTCTGGGTCGAAGGATAGGAGATACTGGCGGAATTGCGTTCTAGGGACGACCATAGCACTGTCTCGGGCAAGCCAGCGGCACCCAGAGACAGGTTAAACACATAGTTGCCTTTGGGCACGACTTGGAGGACGAGCTGGACTGTATCTAGTGATAGCTATAGGCCTACGGCCCTCCACGCCATATACCCTTCGGGAGGTCTGCCGCAAGGGCGGCTGCGCCCTTGCCGCTACGGCGTTAAAATACAACAACAAAAAACAACGACTTGGTCCAATAAGATTATAAGGCCTACCCTAGAGGCCTCTTCTTGACACCTGCATATTGTACAGATGTTTTTTCACCCCGTGTTCGATTCTTGTATCGATAAGTGGATTGACTCTTTGACGTGAGGAGAACCTACTATATCCCTTCCTACGGTTTTTCGTAAAGTTCACTACCAACCGACAACGTTATTTTTAGTGCAATATTTTCAGAGCTGTCAGCTTTAGGCCACGTCGCACTGCTTCGTAGTAAGTACCACCACATACCTTACTAGGTTCAGGAACTTGATGTCATCCCATATTCCAAAAGTCCCCGAACTCTTCCGGGTAGTCTCGGTAGTTACTAGGCACATGCATTGCAGATAACTAGGTACTTTGTAATCAGCAAAGAGATGACAGTCCAGAGCTTGGCTATAGTCTAGTATCTGATCACCTCTCTAGGACTTAAGTTGTGCGGAAGTCCGAACTTTTACTTGCAGCCTTGGGGAAAATGTACCGATTCATCATTTTAATTGCTCCTACTAGTAGATGAGTACTATGAAGCTAAGGTATTGATTTTCGCCATATTTCCTGGCTTGAAGTGGGTTGCGCAGGTGACCGTTCGTTGTACAAAAGTTTGACTCGATTTCCCGTTTCCTCAATCGATATTTCCCACAAACTGTACCGGTAGTGAGGGGTCGTTTATCGCGTGTTGCACGCTTACCAGACCTTGATGCAGCTACCGCAATATTTGAAGCCGAGTCGCTAGCCATTCGATGTCTACTTTACTATGGCAGCCTACAAATGAAAGTAGCAAATATTCCGACCAGACTCACGAGATCGTTGGAGAACGCCTCATGAGGACTTTCGTGCCGGCAAAACACTGCCGGTGCTTGAGGCAACTTTCTTGAGTACGTGTGGACGTCCAAGTATGGAGGCTCAATGTTTCAAGTGGAGCACAGTGCAATTGGCCTCATTCTCCCCATGTGTAACCTTAACTCATGATCAAGACGGAAGATCGGCAATGCTGAACAGGGTACTGGCGGACGAGAACAAATTTTTTCACTGCCTGTGGTGTATCCCCCAAAAATAAGCAGGCAATCACGAAATGTTTTACCTCTCACGTCATTCCTAGCGGCCTCAAACACGTGACATTACTCAGGTTTTGCAATGGTTTGGCTTAAACCGAACTTCTCCGACCTCTCCACTTGTAACTCCGAGCTCACAGCCCGAGCAAACTTCACGTCGACTGTTATACTGTTCGACTTATAAGTCCTTTCAGCGTCCATGTTTTGAATTTCCATGTTTGAGTAATCTTTACACGCACAATATCAAGTCCTCGGCTACCATCATGTCTTCTGGGCCGAGATCTTGGTTATCACGGCTTGGCGAAGAGAGCGGCTTCATTTCGATTTCGCAGTCTTGTCGCGATACCAAAGTACTCTGCTTACAACGTTTCGTTCGCCTCTTTGCATACGGCGCATCATTCCTTATTCTGGTACACTTTCTCTCGAGTCTAGGCTACTCGGATGAACGAATCGGCCTTTTCATGACATTGACTCTTCTCGGAGATGTCGTCATCAGCTTCTTACTCACAGCCGTCACCGATCAAGTTGGAAGACGAAAGGTCCTTGCCACCGGAGCAGCACTTATGGTTATGAGTGGTCTGGTCTTTGCAATGGTTGGGAACTACTGGGTCCTCGTTATTGCCAGTATCTTCGGGGTCATCAGTCCCAGCGGAAATGAAATCGGGCCTTTTCGCGCCGTTGAAGAGTCGATTCTCGCTCAGTTCACGCAGAAAGAAAAGCGCAGTGATATCTTCGCATGGTACACGCTCTTTGGCTCGGCAGGCGCCGCCCTAGGCACACTTACCTGCGGTTGGGTAGTGCAGGCGCTTGAAGGCAATGAGTCTTGGACTCAGAACGAAGCATACAGAGTCGTCTTTCTTATATATGCGGCCATCGGCTTACTCAAGCTAATGCTTATTTTTGCCCTTACGTCTGGTGTTGAGGCAACGCCGACAGAGACCGACGATCAAATCTTTCGAAGAAATACCGAAACTCAACCTCTACTTGGGGACAACTCAGACGGTGAACAGAGCCAGTCTAGGCAGTCAACAGGAGCAGAGTCCCGTCGGCCAACGATCATGCAACGCACAAGGGCTCTACTCCCTTATATCTCTCCGCTATCTCGATCGATACTGTTTCGGCTCCTCATTCTATTCTGTCTCGACTCTTTTGCCTCCGGAATGGCATCACCATCTTGGTTAACTTACTACTTCACCACCGTTCACTCTCTGAAGCCAGGATCGCTGGGAACACTATTCTTGGTCACCAATCTTCTCGCCACAATTTCGAACCTCGTGGCACTTCCTCTTGCCCGTCGTTTAGGGCCACTCAAGACCATGGTTTTCACTCACCTGCCTTCTGCTATCTTTTTGTCAATGATCCCTCTTCCATCGCCCGGTTCGGGTGGAACATGGACTGCGATGGCATTTCTGTCCTTGAGAGCGTGTACACAGAGCATGGATCAAGCACCTAGACAGGCCTTCCTTGCCGCTGCAGTTCTCCCCAACGAAAGAACGGCCGTGTTGGGCGTGGTCAATATTGTAAAGACGTGGGCTCAAGCGGGTGGCCTTGGTTCTGCAGGGTATCTCGCTGGGAAGAATCTTTGGATCGTGGTATTTACGGGAGCAGGAATCATGAAGGCATGCTACGACTTATTGATGCTCGGGTTGTTTTTGGGACTCAGAGATCGGGAAGACGGCAGCTCCAAGTCCCATTCGAGGGACGAGGAAGAATCTTGAATTACGGAGAACCAAACTGCAATAGAGTTTGATGTAGACCTTCTTACATGTAGGCTAAGAGATTGAATTGATGAAGTACGTATTTCTGCTTAGTCCACTTTCTTCGCACTCTCCTTACGTACGATTGCCTCAAGTTTGGGCAGATCGAATTTCCTGTAGGCCAATTCGTCCAAAAGCCACTCACCGAAAAGGAGCCGAGCAAGCCAGACTGACCCAGCCATGCCACCAGCCCAGAACCAATTTGTCGCTCCTCCGATCCAACCCCCAAGCCACCCTTCTCCTTTTAGGGCCTCTGCTACCAGTTGCTGGGCAAACTCCCCCGTGGAGACGGTCGCGTTATTTTGGGAAAATGTAAGGCGCTTTGCATATATCTCTTTGGCACGAGAGTACAGCGAGTCAGGCGGCAGCTCACGGGTGAGCTTGGCAATTTGACTCTTGACAGTCCCAGTCATAGAGATCATGACACGTACGCCAAATGGACGAAGCTCTTGGCGAAGGGTACGGCTGTATGAGTTGAGAGCGCCTTTGGTCGCCGTGTAGACTGAGCCAAAGACATAGGGAGAGATGGAGGAAAGACTGCTAATCATGATGATGAGGCCGCGGGCCGGGATCAGCAGCGGCACAAAGGCCTGAACCATAGCCATGACGCCAAAGACATTTGTCTCAAAAATCTGTCGAACTTCGTCCATGTTGATGTCGGTTGCTGGGACAGTATGCGTCAAGCCACTGGAAGGTCGTTAGTTAGCAGCACAGTGAGGTATTACGAATAAACCATGTCTCAGTGCGAGACATAGAAGCCACTGTCTGGCTCGAGAGCGCTCTGGCACGGAGTAAGCCTTACGCGTTGTTGACCAGGAAATCAAGGCGGCCTCCAGTCAATTCAGAGACCCTTGCTTTGCAGACAGCGATACTGTCACCGTCAGTAACATCGAGGGGCAATGTCGTCAGTCCCAAGTCGCTCAAGTCTGAGAGAACTTCAGGCCGGCGGGCCGTTGCGATGACATGGAGCCCTAGCAGTGAAACATTGTGAGCAAACCGCATCTCCAGTAATGGTTCGTTTCATGAAATTGAACACTAATTATTGGTTCATGGATGTAATTGACACCCACCTTTGGAGTGAAACTCTTTTGCCAAGGCATGGCCGATTCCCCCTGGGGTGCAGCTACAAGAAACGTGTCAGCACTAACGCCTCCAGCGTTTAGCTCCGCGAGTCAGAGTTAAAACGAATGAAGGATGTAGCGCACCCTGTGATCAAGACTGTCTTTTTGTCTGCTGGGATGCCCATTCTGTCGATACTGTACTGGAACTTGATGTCGAACGATGGAGAGGGAAGAAGTTGTGATCAATGGATTCAATGTGTTGAAGACGAAACATCACATGGCTGCTCTCAGACTGTTTGGCCAGATAAATCCCGAGGTAAATTCAGCTTAAATGGGTCAAGAAAGACATGTGGGTCGCTCAGGTCCGCATTCCGCGGATTTCCGCCAAGAACCTTGTCATTCGGCCGAGTCCTTAGTAATCCGTATAGATAAGCCCCTTGTGCGGATAATGAAGCAAAGTCAAGGTACAGAAGCCAAAGGGTGTTCGACACTTTGAGCAAACATGTGGAAGTAAGGTCCTCCTCCTACCGAGCGCACATTCACGATAGCTATGTATCCGTTATTTGCAGCCCCAAGCTTGCAATGTGTAAGGCTACATTCTGAGTCACCCACTGCGAGCATTCCTGAGCAGCCGCAGCGTGTGACGCAGTGGCCGAACACTGGAGGAAAATAGCATGCCCCATCACTTCGGCTAGCATGATGTTGTATGCTTAGCAGCAAACAGTTGAGGGAGGGCTGTGAACTGACAACTCCAGAAGCGTCGAGGATGCTGTGATCTCAAAACCCGGTCGTTTCTGTTGCTTTGCTGTGGAAGACGTTGTAATTTAAACGAACCGTTCGTGCCAAAAAGAGTTGCTCGGAAACTCCGGAAAATGCCAAGTTTCTTTGCCACCAACCGTTACGCAAACCGGCGGGATGTCTGTCCAAAATTTTGTTTTCGAGGGATTGTGTCGGAACGGCAAGGCTGATAAGGAGCAATGGGCAGGTATCGTGGGCTGGCTGGCGCCTGCCCTGGGCGAAGTGGGACAACCTGCTTAGTCATCACGGCCGGTTAAGGTGGGGCAATCACCCAGGCCGTCCCCACCTACTTCGATCGGCCCCTGCCCGCAAGGTAAATAAGAACAACAGCAATTATCACGGACATCGACGTGATTGTTGCCGAAGATACACCCTCATGAGGAAATGTATCACGCCTGTGATACCAACAGATTGTTTTTGCGATGGCCCCTCTTGGCAGGCTGCGGCCTATCCGCGTATCGATGGATCAGCTGCCATTGAACTCAACCAAGGTATTCCGTACCAAATACGAGTATAAAAAAAAGTCGTCGCATCATGCGTCTGCATGTCCCCCCGCACGTCACATTGCGGAGAAGCTGGGGAAAGGGAGCATGGTCACTGGGTTCTTCAAACTACCGACAAATGAATGCGGGGTCGTCAGGCTCTTGGGTTACATGCTCGTTGTTTGGACATCGGTTCATCCCATGAGGTCCGGAACTCAACCTTGGTGCTTATTCTTCTTGTTACAAGGCGAGCAATCCTATGACAGAAGACGCCCCAATCTTTGTATCATCTTTACCTATACTTGTAAGCATCTCACTTGCGAATGGCGACGAGCCAGACGCCAGCAATGGCGCGCCACTGTTACTTCAAGATTTGTGTAGCCAGGTGGAACAACTGCCCTGTTGAGCTCCACGCCGTAGGCCGGAATATCCGGCTTTCGAACAGAAGCGAAGAATCCCCGGTAAGATCAACACCCGATCCTGGATGCCGTCAGAAGGTGTCAAGGATCCTACCTCGCAGTCTGGGGACCCCGCAAACTAACCTCGAGATCCACAGACTTCGGGTAATTTAAGACGAGCAGAGGGGTTAAGAATGCCTAGCTGAGGCTAGCACTCAAGCATAATTTCGTCGGCGGGATAGCTACAACCGAGTATCTGCAATGATGCTTGGAATTTGGTAAGTTTAAGGACATGGATACACGGGTGAAAGATGCCCGACAAGCCTCTGTGGTCTTGGTTCAAGCTTGTATTCATAGCTCCGCGTATAATCGATGTATATATATGGCTCAAACTGCGGTAGCATTCAGCCTCTTTTGATACAGGCCCTTCTAAACCTTTGTTCGCTGACTTAGGTGGCATTCTTCGAGGGTTTTCCCGTCATCATGGCTGTTTCGATATCTCAGCTGTCTTTCGAGCACCATCGACAAGCTCTTGGCATAGCCGAATCAGAGCCTCGCATTTCATGGCGGTTCTCTGGCAATGCCGTTGACTGGGAGCAGAGCGCCTACGATCTTGAGATTCTCAGGGGGTCAGATCCCCCAACCATCCACAACTTTAACTCGACCGAGTCTCTCCTAGTTCCATGGCCAGTAGCAGCTCTAGAAACGGCCGAGCAGGCTAGTGTACGAGCTCGAGCCCACGGCGGGCCCGGCCAACTCTCTACGCCTTGGTCGGATTGGGTCACAGTCGAGACTGGGCTCCTCAACTCTTCGGACTGGGCCGGGGCGGTCCCCATCGCCGCCGAGAGGGAGACTGAAGTCGAAGCTCCGAAACGTCCGGTCTACTTCAGAAAGCCTTTTCTCATCAATGCCAATGTCACTCGTGCACGCCTCTACATCACCGCGTTGGGAGTTTACGAAGCGGAGATCAACGGCCGTCGGGTCGGTGACTATGTTCTTGCCCCCGGATGGCAATCATACAACTACCGTCATGTTTACGATACATACGACGTCACGGAACTTATTTCAAGCGGAGAAAATGCCATTGGTGCCGCAGTCGGCGAGGGATGGTTCACGGGTAGACTGAGCTACGGTGGTGGTGTCAGAAACAATTATGGTGACACCATTGGCCTTCTCAGTCTTCTTGTTGTCACTCTCGAAGATGGTACCAAGATTATGGTACCAAGCGACGCGACCTGGAAAGCCAATACCGGCCCACTTATCACCTCCGAAATTTACAATGGCGAGCATTACGACTCTACACTTGAGGCAGACCTGAAGGGATGGTCATCCGCAGGATTTGCCGCCGATGATTGGCTGGCAGTGAAGGAGTTGCCCGCACTCAAAGGCGCTTTAGTCCCTGCTGATGGGCCTCCTGTCAGGCGATTGGAAGAAAGAAAGCCAGAGTCCATCTTCGCGTCTCCGTCTGGCAAGACGATTATCGACTTCGGGCAGAATCTCGTGGGCTGGCTGAGACTCACGGTTTCTGGACCCAGCGGAACGAACATTACCCTTCACCATGCTGAAGTTCTAGAAGACGGGGAGCTTGCTCTAAGGCCACTCAGAATAGCAACAGCAGCTGACTCTCTTATCTTACATGGGAACGGCACGCAAACATGGGAGCCACGATTTACCTTCCATGGCTTCCGTTATGCCCAAGTTGAAGGTTGGCCACAGGAAACTCCTCTGACTGCCGAATCCATCATTTCTGTCGTCGTACACAGCGATATGGAACAGACCGGCTGGTTTGAATGTTCGAATCAGCTTCTCAACAAGTTTCATCACAACGTGCGGTGGTCTATGAAGGGAAACTTCTTGTCCATCCCCACCGATTGCCCACAGCGTGATGAGCGACTTGGGTGGACCGGCGATGCCCACGCCTTTGCTCCAACAGCCAATTACTTGTATAACGCCGCCGGTTTTTGGAGAGGCTGGCACAAAGACATCTGGTCAGAGATGCAGCGAAAAAACTCGATGGTAGTTCCATTCACCATCCCAACAATCCCACCTGGAGGCCCAGCTACGCCCGCCGCAGTCTGGGGAGATGTAGCCGTTGCCAACCCTTTCAACATTTACCAAGCGTTCGGTGATTTGGGCCTTCTCGAAGAGCAATACCTTCAGTCTCAGGCCTGGATTGATACGGGCATCAGCCGTAACGAGGTTGGATTATGGAACCGCAGCTCTTTCCAATTTGCCGACTGGCTCGACCCGAAGGCCCCTTCTGATGCTCCCGGGAACGCTACTACTGCGAAACATTTGGTCGCCGATGCGTATCTTATCCACATGACTGACTTTCTCGCAAACATGTCTGCAGCTCTAGGGCGTGGCGATGCGGCAGAACAGTATCGAAGTCAACGGAAGGATTTGATCTCGGCGTTTCATGACGCTTGGATCCAAGATGGCGTTCTTGCAAACCAGACGCAGACGGCGTACGCCATGGCTCTCAACTTCAACCTATTCACAGATGGGGGACAGCAGTCAGCTGCTGCCGAGAAGTTGCGACAGATCGTCGCAGATAATGACTACCTAGTCGGCACAGGCTTTGCGGGCACTCCGCCTCTTGGATTCGCTCTCAGAGATATTGGCGCTACTGAAGACTTCTATCGCATGCTTCTTCAGACCCGAGTGCCTTCCTGGCTATACCAAGTGGTTCAGAATGGTACAACCACTTGGGAGAGATGGGATAGTCTTCGCGCAAACGGAAGCGTCAATTCTGGCGAGATGACCAGCTTCAACCACTACGCTTTCGGCTCCGTTGCCAATTGGATGCATCAAGTCATTGGTGGCATCGCTCCTGCCGAACCGGGCTGGAAGCGTATCACCGTTGCCCCAATTCCTGGCGGTAACATTACCAGTGCTGATTCGAAATACGTTTCGCCTTATGGAGAAGTCAAGGTACAATGGTGGTTCGAAAACAATCAGGAGGAAAATGCCGTACATCGTAATGGGTTCCATATGGTCGTCGAAATTCCTCCCAGCACAAAGGCCGACATCACGCTGCCTAATGGGGGAGAGACAACTGAAGTCGGTTCCGGATACTACGAGTTCCATGACCCAAGTTATTTACTAGTTTGATTTTAGAAACTCAAATCTTGCTATCATCTTCCGTCAATCATGTCTTCACGTTGTTCATCCAATTGATTGTTGTGTTGGTGGATGAATGACGGGAGCTTTGCTGCTAAGTCCCATACAAGTACTTAAGCTGAAGTCCCATGCGCCTCCAACTGACCTACGACTCCATCACCGATGTGAAATCGAGAGTTGCAAAGGAAACCCACAAGTCGCTCAAGCCTGTTGGGAGAGGGATTGGACGAGTAGACGAGCTTGATGTTTAGGACTTCAAGGGCGAAATGAAAATACTGGCCTGACATTCCAGGTAGGGTTAACTAATTGAATTTGACCCAGGTTGATAAATTCTGATCTTAGTTATATTCTGTTGAGACTTGTCGTGTCGATCCAACGTTTCAAGACAACATAAAAGATATCCCGCAGCACCTCCAACAACTTGATGTCTCTTTCAAGTCCTAGTTCGTGATCTCGAACCTCATTGACCCTAGGACAGATCCTCTTGGCTCAGATTTTTTTCAGAGTGTAAGACTTGAATTCCTCCAGGACCCAGCTTGATGTAGGTCTACTACCTACATAGGAAGATAGGACTCATCGGCACTAGTTTCAGCGCGCTTCATAGGATCGTAAGACTCGTCGGCACTTGTCTCGGCCCTCTTCATGGGAAGGTACGACTCGTCTGCGCTGGTTTCGGCACGCTTCATAGGAAGATAAGACTCGTCTGCGTTCGTCTCCGCCCGCCTCATCGGCAGGTACGATTCGTCGGCACTCGTCTCGGCCCTCTTCATCGGCAAATAAGACTCGTCTGCGCTTGTCTCGGCCCGTGCCTTCATTGGAAGGTAGGACTCATCGGCGTTTGTCTGGGCTGCATATACTTAGCTTCTGAAACGAAACTCAAGACAAAAACTTCAGTATGCCACCTACCATGACCTGATCGAGGAACCGTAGGTAATGCAACAACGCAGGCCGCCAGAGCGGTCAACAAGACGGTCACCTTCATGTTGTGAGATAGGCTTTGGCGAGTATCTTGGGGAGATCACTCCAGAACCGTCTTTGAATCAGAGAACAGGGCTGAAAGGCAAGTAGAAGAGATCCAGTTGAAAGATGATTGACAGCGTCGTAGCCCTCTCTTATGATTGACACCTTCTGTGACAAGTCAACCGAGCTTAGAAGGTCCGCGAAGTTTCTGGGCTGGACCAAAATCCATCAGGAGCTGGAACCTTGCATGTTGATCTGTGAGATGAAAGAGGCAGGTGGGCATTTGGATGACTCTCACAACTGACGAATCGTGGTTTCACCAGTCATGATTGACAAACTGTGGCTTCACTTGTACAACTCTGAAGACTTGAGTTTACAGGGTAGTTTATGGCGGCAAGGAAGTAAGCTAAATGTTGAAGGATTTGTCCAGTCTTCTTTGGCATCCGAAGTAGCCGTTTAGAGCAAGGCTTACGAGCACCTCCATTATCGACCTTCCAAATTGACATTAGTTTCTCGCCCCACAGCCATAGGATCTAGATGCATAGAACTTGACAAAGGCCAAGAAACTTCGCAGTCTTTCTGGCCGATGTTCGAAGTCCCAGTTATACTTCGCATCGGATTTGCTACATTCTCTCGTCCGTCAGGTTGAATTTACTCGTGTCTATGCCAAGATTTCAACTCAGCAAAAAAGGAGCAATCAACTTTCAGTCAATGGTTGGTTTCACAGATTCAAGTGCGAAGCCTCATGGAAAGGGTGTCATGGTTCAAAGAATTTGTTTAGAATGTGGAAAATGTATCGGCTTTGTCACACCTACTAATTAATCGCCAGAAACTCGGTCTTGACGTTGGCTTTCCATTGTTCTTGTTTCGAAGACAAACTTTACATGCAGTGCGACGACAGGGGCACGCAAAACAGGATGGTGTAGTGATATCAGATTGGCTCGTCCGGACTCGAAAACCGAGTCACTGTCAGACATTGGGCTTGACCAGCGGGGGCTCTTCGAGTTGGGTATAGTGTTCATGCCTGAAGGATTCGGATGCACCGACATACTCGTCCATCTTCCACTCGGAAGACGGTCCACCTCGGACGGAGGTAAGCGCAGAACGCCATCACAGATAAGATGACCGTCACTGTATAGACCTTCCAGATCTGGAGGAAAGGATGGGATCATCAGTATACCTATGTCCCGCATGGGTCGTCAGACGGGATATGCCCGCCTGTATGACGGTGGCGGAATCTGAAGAAGTCTGCGGTCCCTCGCGAATCTTTCAAGCTTTGATCCGGAGACGCTGTCCCGTGGCAATTCGCAATCCCCTCACCCGTGTCTTCTCCCCCGTCTTGTTTTGTCCATCTTTGGGCCGTTCATTCATCCAAAAATCCAAAAGAATTGGTGGACATTTGTCTGCCTCATCCACTTGCAAATCTCGCTCACATCTCTTCTTGAGTCTTTGATAGATTCTCTGGCTGCTTCATCCCCAAAACGCCTTGAAAACTTCAACTCAAGATGGGCCGAAACCACAAGGAGTACGCGCCTGTGTACTCTGATGAGAGCGCAGCTTCGAGTCTCGAAGCCGTTGAGGCCACAGTTGCAACAGCAAAGATTCGGCACACAGCAAAGCTTCGCAGATTCGGGGCGTGGACGCTTCATGTTGTTCTGATTACCATTTACACCGCAATCTTTGCCATATCACTTTTACCCAACAGGTCATTTTCGGGGGTTTTTAGTTTGATTGATGGTAGGCTTCATGCTCTTAGAATATTGCTATTTTAGTCGAGGCCGTGAAGCTTACTGGACTGCAGCGCCGCCGAAAGCTGTTGGCGAGGAAACACATCTCGAAGTCTTCCCTATTCAGGGCCCGCCACATGGCAAGTACACTGGTGAACCAAGACCAGAGGTAGACAAAGCATGGAGGGACTTGCTGCAATGTAGGCGACCGCCCAATATAAGTGGAACATGTACTAATCGAAACCGTTTAGACAACAATATTCGTGTTTCCGAGGAATGGGTTCACCGCTGGGGACGTGAGCATGAGGCAGTTAAGCTACCCGATGGTGGGTATCTCGGCATGCTCAGTGTCTTCCATGAGTTGCACTGCATCGCAAGTTATCTTCGTCTATTACTGGGCACCTGAACGAAGCTAACCAAGCGTACAGAAGCGCCTCTATCAAACACTGTCGCCAGATTACTATTTCCCCAACGCAACTGAGCAAGAAATCGCCACGAATCGAGAGCATAATCGTAAGTTTGTCATTGAAACTCTGTGATCGTCGCCTGTGAGATCAGACCTGACTTAAACCACAGAACATTGTCTTGAGGTCCTTCGCATGGGTGCAGCTTGCCGCGGTGACATTTCCATCATCACCCACATGTGGACCGACATTGACGCGAAACCCATTGTGAACCAAACGGCGCCTCACCAGTGCATTGACTTTAACAAAGTCATGGACTATTCTCGGGACAATACAGTAGACGTATATCAGGACAACTACATCGTCCACCCGAAGTTCGGTTGGTACATCTTGCCATAATGTCAAAACATGCGCTCACCGATAATAGGACCGTCGTTTCCCAAGGGCAATAGCATCAAGCCCTTCAAGGAGCAGGGAATGGGTCACCATCACTAAAGCTAGGAAGCTTCATAAAGTTCACCAGGCTCGGCCGACATTGAATAGGCCAAGCATATGCAAGACGCTAGATTGCAGGCCATGGCATTGGGGATTTAAATACTTACGTTTAGCAATAAAGATTGAGAGGGACTTGAGGTTTGGCGTTGCTTTCCGAAGTACTTGGCAGGCTAGGCTGCGTAAACTTCATGTGCGTACCTCAACACTGAAGAAAGAGTTAAAGTAGCATGCGTATGTCCACTAAAATAACACTTTCCAAAATAAAGGTCTTGCTATCCATGTTGGATTGTGAAATTGATTCAATTTGATTGCATGTTGGTACCCTGGTAAGGAAGCACCTTGAGTACTCCGTACCTTTCACCTTGCCCCACTCCACACCGAGAAGGTGGCCCAATTGGTCTTATCTATTGGCTCCCGACCGATAGTCACGTGGTATTGAAATGTCTGCATCGCAAAGCCAAAGAAAAAAAGTTTCTCCAGCCTGGCGTTGCACAATGATCATCACCCACCGACAAATCAACACCAAACCCGACCATCACCCCCCCCGACTTCCACGATGCATTTGATGTACACTCTCGATGAGGCGGGTAGCCGTGTCTACACCCTCAAGAAGGTGGTTGACGGCAAGGTCACCAAGTCCGCCCACCCTGCCCGCTTCTCTCCCGATGACAAGTGGTCGCGCCAGCGCGTGACGCTGAAGCGTCGCTTCAACCTTCTCCTTACCCAGCAGAGTAAGTCTCCAGCCTTTGTTTCGACCTGGAATCGCTCTAATGATGTTCTCAGAGACCGAGTAAATTCGTCAATTGCATAAGAAGCAATCGAAAAAACTCTACACCCGGCCGATCGATTCCAGCTCGTTCACGATTCCATGCGTCGCTGAGAACGACCTCTCTACAACGAATGGAGCATGAGGCATGGTCTGGCACGAAGGGGGAGCAACGAAGCCCTTGCGCACTGTGAAAGGCTCGTGACTAAAAGCTCTGGTATACAAACAATTGGCGTTGGGGAAAGGCTTGCATTCAGGGGATCATCGGAGTCTTTTTACCAGGTCCGTGTTACGATAGATTGCTCTGCAGTTCCCAAAATCAGAGCGACACATCTAAAATTCAACCTCGTTTTTTGTTCTTCCCATCCGTTTGACTCTTTCATTGAGCGGCCCTTTTCCTGCCTTTTGAGGGATCTATCATGGTATCATGCAGAACATATAAACATCAGCTTCCAACCAGCTACTGCCTCTCTATCTCCTCCTGCGACCGTTAATGTTTCTTCCCGGACCCAGTCGTACCTTGCCATTAGCACCGCTTTGGCGGTCGCCTGTAAGAATGCTTGGGAGGTAATCCTCGTCCATGAGATCTCTCCGCCGAGCACGATGCTTGTCACCCACAGCTCTTTCGTACTCCTTTTGGTCTTCCGCGAAGATGAGGTTGGTACCCCAGTTGTTCTTGCCACCGGCGTTTTTGGAAAGTTTGCCGCTGGCTGTACCGGCGGAGGGCTTGGGGATGCTGAAAACGTTGCCTCTGTTGTTCCACTGGAAGTTGCGCTTCAGGTGGATCTTGAAGGTGCCGTCCTCTTCCGTCGTACAAGACGTGCGAATCAGAGTGGCTTGTCCGCAGCTAGGGCAAAACTGGCGGTCCATTTTCTTGCAGACCTGGAAGCACCCGTGGCACCGCAGAACCCAAGTCTTGAGTTGGGTGATGCGCGACATGGACGGCGAGAGCAGATTGAGCCCAATTCTCAGGGCAACGTTCTGCATGGCGTAATCAGAGGTGAGGATACCGACCTTGATGTCAATCGCAGGCGCAGTCGGCTGCAGCAATTTGCTGTCCTTCTCCTTTTGCTTCTTCACGTTGGACGGCGTGATCCAGCCGTCTTCGGAGTCTGACTCATCCCCTTGAGCTTCGTTGGCGCCAGCAACGCTTGATACAGCCGGCTCGGATGTTGCCTTGTCATCCACCTCGAGGTTGCTCATATCTTGTGTAATCTGGGTCGTCTCAGCGTCCGATGACGAGGCTTCCACTGTCGCGCTCTGCTGAGTTTCAGTCTGTGTCTCCTCGGCACTCTGTTCAATCGTTGTGCCCTCCGGCACCTGGGCGCACTCCGCCACTTCTGCGCTCTCAGTCGCGGGCTCTTCCTGTGACTCGGTTCCAACCTCAGCTCCCGGTACCGGGGCATCGGCGCTGGGTGCCTTGTCATTGGGAGTCCGCGCACCCGGCTGTTTCCTCAGGTTCTTGTCGCCTCCAGTCTTCTCAAGCTCGAGTTCGTAGGTCAAGGCAAGCAAGTGTAAATCGGGTCTGCTGAGAACCTCGAGATCACCGGACCGGCGCGCAAAGTCAGACACAAATTTGATGCTATCGGGGCGGGGGTTGCGAAGTTTGACGAAAGGCATGAGGGTTGTCTGTACTCGAGTGCGGGTGCTGACATCGCGAATTTCGTCGACAATTGAGGGCAGCATGTAGAGCTCATCGGCTTGTGCGAGCAGAGTGCTGACAGGAGGGTCGTTCTTGATCAACGGGCCGGTATCCAGCACAAGAGCGTGGATGGGTTTGCGCTCCTCGACCACAGTTGGGCTTGCGACCGCGGGAGCAGCCACGGCATCGTTGGACATGATGGCGCGTCGACTTTTCGATTTTTGTCAAAGGCTCCTGTGTCAAAAACAGCGGATTCCTAAGGAAAACGTTCGAATGCAGATCGTGTCAGGGGGTTCGTATGCAGGCTGATGTTGAGGCAACGGGCAGTGCGGCGAATGATTTTGAATGGAATGGGAAATTTCTCTATCGCGGGGTTGTGGTGGGGTGTAGTTTTTTCTCGATAAGACAGCCCAGACCACCCCTCTCCTTTCGCTCGGTCAAGCCCCGCACCGCCACCAGGCCACACCTTGACCGCCTCCTCTCACCGAGGATCCTTGACCGCCTTCTCGGTGTAGCGGATCCAAATCCGGATTGAAACGTGAAGCATTCATCCGGACTCTCAGCTACCTATACAATGTGTTATAATATGTGTTACTACTATAAGTATTCAACTGGGCTTCTGTCACTTGGAACTGCTGGAACCTGCAGTGAAAAGGACGCCACGAAGTAGTAGCATAGTGCAGACTAGGTACCTTGTCTTTAGTTTCTCGAGATGTCAACAAAAAGACTTACAATCTTCGAAGTAAAACGGTCATTATGTGGAGGGGGGACAACCAAGGCAGATTTCGACCGCTATGAGACCCTGAGCAAGACTCAATGCCTATGTTCGAAGCATATCAGAACCTGGATCCCGCGTGACGGCACCAAGGACGTTGAAGCTCTCATGAAGGGCGAGGGGTGCTTAGTTCGGATGTCGGGCAGTACTGGACACAGCCCCCGGCCTAATAACCACAAAGCAAGTACATCAAGCTTTGGAGGAATACGGATGAGAGTCTCTCAAATGCCTCGGAGAAGAGCTCAAGGTAATTATTGGTCAAATTGCGATGGCGTGCGAAACGCAGAAACAACGTATTTGAGATGTTTCTCGAGAGCGGCTTTCGGGAGCGGCAATCGGCCTTGTTTCCAAAGCCGACAGCCGGACAGACCGTTCAGCGTTCAGCCAGTCAGACTCTGTTCGCAACAGTCTCACAGTTTCTCAGATGTAAGCCATTCAGGCCACACAGGTTGCCGAGAGCCGCCCCTCTTGCCGGAGGGAGTGGTGTTGGGTGGATGGTTCTCCAACTGACTCATCACCGTCATTTTGGCGCGGCTTGTGGATGAAGGTCAATCTGGTGAGAGACATGTGCCTGCTGTAGCCAAGGTATCCGGACTCGACTTACGACTGAACTCGTCTTTGCCTTGGTTAAATCCCCGTGAGTTGAAGTGCCTTTTGTCTTGTATGCCTTATAGACTCACAAGGTCTCTGGGGGGTATTAGTGGATGTTCCTAGACACAAAGTTCCTCGCCCTGCCCATCCTGCCGGAGAGATTTTCGGGGAGCTGCGCTGGCAGCAACAGGGAAGCACACTCCACTAATGAACGCCCAGCCATGGTCGGCTTGTTCACCTGAGCTCGCCTGAAAGCTCCGATACCAAGGAATCAATGCCACCTCCCAAGGTCCCAGAGACACCCCGAAAGCCCCCGGTTGCGGCTATGACTTGTGCCAGGAACGTACATGGACTGAAGGGTATTGTCCCCCTGTGAGAGACCGTTGCCGGGGCTTAACTGAGAATTGAGAAGTGAGAACGAGTGTGGTGCCGAGAGACACATGCACAGTTCACTATTCGGTCACGGAGCATCTCCCATAGTCAGTCTCCTCCGTCGCCTTCTCTCTTCCCACGCATTCCCCGTCCTCCGTATCCCCAAACTAAACTGTTAATTCTCACTCTGCCCCTACCTTACGTCAAGTAAGCTGCACAGTCGCACACAGTGTGATTGTTCCCCGGATTTCTCCTGCATACCTAGTCGCAACTCGGAACGGAAACAGTAGGTAGACACGCTGCGGCTGCGCGCGCTCAAAGAGACCCACGCCGATTTCTCTCCGGAATGGGCAATCCATGAGCCCTAGACTGAGCCTCATCTGTCTCTCCATGTCTATTGTACGCGCCGCCTAGTTCCGGTGAGCAACGAGGGCGCGCGCCTATCGAGGTAATTGGGAGAATGGCAGACTTGTACGGTAGCAACACCATCGGCAACAGCAGCGTCAACAATAACAACAACGACAACCTTGGACATCACCTCCGACCCGACAAACCACCGACAGCCGCTGCCACCACTGCCGCCGCTTCAACGACGGCAAACGCAACCGCAGACCTGGCCGCCGCCGCAGCTACCACCGTGACAGCCTCAGCCGCAGCCTCGTCCGTGTCTCCGAAACCGACAAAGCGGTCCTCGGCGACGACATGTATCACCTGCCGGGCCCGTAAGGTCCGCTGCGACGGCCGGCGCGACATTTGCAGCAACTGCGAACGCCTCGGTTTCTCATGTACCTACGAAGACCCATCTTCCGATGCTAATGGTGTCGCTGCTGCTCCTACCTTTCCCCTGCCGAGACGCCGTGTCCGGCAAGCATGTCAGAGCTGTCACTCACGTAAAGCTCGATGTAGTGGCCACACACCGGCGTGTGATCGATGTCGTACTCAAGGCATCGAGTGTGTCTACAGAGCTTCCAAGCGCACCCGGCTGAGCATCAACCCTCCGGGTCTCGTCGACCACATAGTCAGATCACCAACCTCATCAAATTCAGCACCCGCTACCAATCGTGACGCGCGGAACCGTCGGTCGTTGTCCAGAGAAGATGCGGCACACGATTCCGATGCCGCCATGGCCGATGCCATGGCCTCCAACACTCCGAGCACCTTTAATCATGATCTGTAGGCTCACTCTCACTGTCCTCTCACTCCTTCACGTACCTTATCCACTGACTGAAATCAGCTCGGCACCTGATCCTCAATTCGAGTCTTTGATAAGTCGAGCTCTGGACAACTTCTTCCGCCATGTTCATCATATTCCCATGTTGTCCTTCCTTCATCGAGCCTCTCTCATGCAGCGGCATAACGTTGGTGGTCTGGATCGGCCGCTGCTGCTGGCTCTCATCGGTATCACGAGCATTCTCACTGACCTTGGGCCGGGAACGAGAGAGTATGGGGAGAAATGCATCGACGAGTCTGAGAGTCTCATTCTGAAGGGCCTCGAGAATGCGTCAACGATCAAAGTTCAAACACTTGCTCTTATAATCAAGTATCGCATCTTGACTCGACGCTTCTCAAGCGCTTTCATGCTTGCTGCCACCGCGGCCAGATTCGCCACGGCTCTCCGACTCAACTACGACAACCCCGATCTCTGTTTCCTCGCCCAGGAATCAAGACGCCGCCTGATGTGGGCACTATTCATGATTGATCAGGGCATGGCTGGAGGATACCGTGATCTTACCTTGTGGACGCCAGAGACGATTCATATTTCCCTGCCGTGCAATGAAAGAGACTTTGAATTCGATCTTGCGCCGCCTTCGTTACGGCCGCTGGTCCCTAGTCCCGATGAGTCCGAGAACGACGACATTGGCAGCTTAGCGTTACACGTGCGCATCCTCTGGCTCCGCGGCAGAATTCTCAAGTTCGCCAAGCGAGCGTCGAATTGTTCCAACGATGACCTCGGGCGCCTGCAGGAACAGCTTCAGTCGTTTGCAAAAGAGCTTTCAGACTTTGCTGAGCGCTTACCTGTGTCGTTCCGCTGGTCCGACAACAGCCTACGGTTGCGAGCATACTCCCCCCGTCTCTGCGTCTTTATCATGATACATGTCTGGTTGCGGCAATGCAACTGTGATCTCTTCAGGATAGGACTCGTTGGGCTTCGCGATTCTTTGACTCGGTCGGCTGCTGAACGGCTTGGTCCCGAGTTCATCGCCGGATGTCAACGCCAGTGCTATGAGCATGCGATGGAAATGTCAAACATGTTCACCTCCATCAGGGCGTTAGACCATTACCCCGTTGCGGACCTCGACATGCCGGTATGCGCGTATCAATGTATCCGCATGCTATACTATATCTACCATTTAAACGCGGAAGAGTACGGTCTCACGCCGGATATCCTTCGCAAAAAGGCTTCAATATGTCTTGAGGTAACCAAGGGCTGTTGCTCTGGAACAGCTGCAGTCTCAATTGTAAGTAACTTCAGCGTGTTCCTCTTGTTAATGAGTATGCTGATTGGTGATCTCAGCAAGCCGATCTTCAACGACTCATGGATCATGGTCTCTCTATACAAGCTACCCCTAGTCGGCTACTTAGCGAGGAGCCCCAGGACGAAAGAAACGGTGACGGTGCTAAGCGAATCCGCCTTGCTCGCGCGAAGCAGGTACAGCTGGCGGATGATCCAGACAGAGGCGCGCCGGCGGCCGATGAGCTCACCAATCGACCATTTGGCATCGGCGCGTGGGAGGACATACAGGTTCCTGAAGCCAACAAGCCAGATGAGCAAGCACCTGTACCACCACAACCCACTGCGCTTGGCTCACTAGAGGTCAATAATGCATTCGAGGGAGCACTTGACAGTCTCGATTTCAACATGGAACCCATGGGTTTGGATTCCTTGGCATGGTTCTCGAATGAGTGGGCACAAGGCGATTTCCAGGGAGAGTTCTAGTGCCGGAGAGGTACACGGGAATGTACACCGAAAATCATGGGCCCTGGAGCAAACTTTAAAGAGACATTGGATGCATACGATTGGTCCCTGTATAAACATCTCAAGCTTTATCAAGTATATTGGCCAAACCTCCTATGACCAGAACCTTGAAGTCGCATGTTGACCCATCTTATCCCGCCGGCGTGTGGATTATTTCTTCACCGTCCGAGCAGGTTGGATTGAGAAGCTTCCCGGATGCACGGCAACATTGATGCTATCTCCGCGGCACTTATAAGACTGGCTGCTATTCCGTCGAGGCATATGCAACGTTGCCAGGGTCTAGTCCAGAGCGAGAACACCTGGCACTTATCGCTGCATATTAGGGAGACTTGGCAGTAACCGTGTACATGAACTGTAAAGCGACAAAGATAGCGACAGCTGGCTTTCGAAGGGCACACGATAAATGAGACAACACGACGAAAGATACAGCGTGGCATGAATGTGACAAGCTTCCACGAGCATAGTTGAGAGCGAAAAGGTCGAGAATCAATTGAAAGCAAGTGCAGGCGCTATATACCCTGCCATGACAATCTAAAGAGTCCCAGAGCAACGTTTTGTTGCCGTACAGTCGCACAATCACCGCATCTTGATGTTGATGTCCAATGCCAAAGGCTTCCTCAAGAATCCCTCGTTCGTCTCCATGATCTCCTGTCTCAACTCAACCTTGTACCTCCTAGCCCATGTAGCGACAATGAGCTTCATCTCAATCTCCGCCACGTTCCTTCCAACGCAAGCCCTGGGTCCAGTGCTGAACGGGATGAAAGCATTCTTCTGTCTCGGCGTCAGCGACTCCCATCTCTCGGGACGGAAATCGTCGGCGTCAGGTCCCCAGATCTCCTTGGAGTGGTGCATGGTGTACGAGGGAACGCTGAGAACGGTGCCGGGAGGGAAGAAGTGGCCGCGAATGGTGACGCCGGGCGAGTTCTCCGGGATCTGACGCGGGAGACCGATGCCAGAGGTAGAGTGGTACCGAAGGGTCTCGTCAATAACCATGGCGAGGTAGGGAAGGTCCTTGATCATCTCGTAGGTCGGGACATCAACGGTGGGGGAGATGGCCTCGTCGAGTTCCTTTTGCAGCTTCTCCAATACACCAGGGGTTCTCGCAGCGTGGTACAGGAGCGCGCAGGAAGAGTTGGATGTCGTGTCGCTACCCGCAATCAGCTGCGTCAATGCCTCGGCCGTGAGCTCCTCTCTGCCCAGCGGCTGTCCCTTGTCGTCACGTCCCTCCATCAAGCGCGCAAGAAGATCAAGTCTGTCAATATCGGGCGGGTTGTCCAGTCTAGCCTTGACACGCGCAATAGCCATGCCCGCGAGGTTCTGTACGGCCTCCAAGCCTTGGCTGAAGAAGGGATCCGGAATGTACTTTGCCCAGGGCTTCAGCTCAGGCATGATTCCAAGAGTGGCAGAAACCTCGCCTCTGCGGTTCAAAATCTCAATGGCGGGTGCGTAGATGGGCGGGCTGTTGGGGGATTCGCGGACCTCGGCGATATCAGCGCCGGAGGCAAGCATGCCGAATGGCGCGCCGAACGCCAAATCGCCAATAATGTCAAATGCCAGATAGTTGAACCATTTCAAGCAGTCAATGGTGGCGCCGGCTGGGTTGTTCTTGGCGAGTTCATCCCACTTCTGGACGAAGAGGGCCAGGTTCTCGTGCATATACGGCTCGAATTGACCAATTGACTTTACGGAGAAGGTGTGCGACACAATCTTGCGCTTACGGGAGTGCTCGTGGCGGTCTCTGGTGTTGAAGAGTCCTCTCCGGATGGAGACGAAGGCGTCGTAGAAGTCTCTGGTGCAGGGTCAGTCTTTGGTTCAAACATTGAGTGGTCTTGGCTCGGGACTTGAGTTTGGAGGCCACTGAGTGAGTGTATAGCCCCCATTCATGAGTGAGAAACTTACGCCTTGAGGAAGCCGTTGCCGTGGCCGTAGATGGCTTGAATGGCCTCATCGTCGGCGATGCTCACGTGGTTGGGCTGGATGCGAACCACGGGCCCCAACTTCTTGTGGATCTCATCGACAGTGAGGTATCGCGTGCCTCTCCGGACAACGGAGAGAAGCCACAAATTGGTGAATTGTGCTGGAAACGGTGCTGGAATTCCACGAAGGGAACCGAATGTGACGAAGAAAGGGTAGAGGTAGTAGACAGCTACGCCTACTACCAGCAGGGCCGGTGCCCAAGGCGTGATGAGAAGCTCTAGAATGGCCATGGTCAAGATTTTCTCGTCATGAATGAAAGCCGATCCACCAGGTAAAGAGAAGAGAGAGGCTAGAAAGAGCTCATATATGAGAAAAAAGAGGGCCTCGACGGACTTGAAGCAGATGTAGAGTTCCACGGGAAGAATCAGAAAGTTGTCGACATGTGGACGCCCGGGGGGGGGGCCTTCTTTGTACTTGTTTCTCGTGAGTATCCGTACTTGGGTGTTAGGCAAGGTAAGTTACGTTACTGAACCCAAGCAGCAGCCATTTAAAAAAAAAAGATGATAACAAACCGAGACATCCGTGACGCTACGCCATGCGTTAAGCTTTCTTTGAGACCCAGTCCTGGTGGATATCGCGGGGCGCGGAGAACCGACACGGCCCCTTGACTCTTGAGCGCTTGGCCTCTCCCCTCCCCCGTCCAAATACTTTGGCTAAGACCAGACGACGCCCCCTTTGACACAGCCAGCCCGCAACAAGTGTCCTAAATCCCCCCCCTCGCGAGTCCCGGCGAGTCCCCGCGAGTCCCCGCACGGCACTGAGTACGGCAATCACGGTCGAGACGGCAGTCAAAGTCGGGATCGCGAGTCGGGCTCTGACACGGGAGATGCCCATCCTTTCCGGCCAAACGGCCCGCTGGCATAACCCACAGGTGGATGTGCTCGGCCACGCAAAACGGCTTGGCCGCACTTCATACGCCTCCGAGATTTGCGTTGCCTCGGGTTTAAACACGGAGCTCTCTTCATCGCGAGGGCATACCGAGGCATGCGAAGAAGATGATGTGCTTGAGTCAAATACTATGCATACCTAGATTGTACAACCACTCCCTATATACGATATATGCCAGAAGGAGGCCCTTGTCCAAGGTGCCTCTGCCATACGGCCCCATGGGGTTTTCCAATGCCCACCAAACGCCGGAATGAATGCAATATACATGTATACTTTAGGTGTATGGCTAAATGATGATAGAAAGAATGAAGTATGGGTACAGCAAAACGCTACCTAAATGCCCCGTCCTCTCGCGCTTCTACCCTAGCTTGCGTCGAGGTACTTTATGTGAGTAGTGTCAAAAATGACCCAGAGAAAACGCTCATCTAAGCATATACGATAAATCTGGCAGCTCGCGCACAAATTGCTGCACAGAATCATAATCCTCGGTGCTCGTCTTGGGCGGCAGCGCCGTGGAAGGCGTCTGGAAGCCCGTTGTGCGTTGGGTTTCGGCAGGCCCACCTGCAGATACGCCGGTTATACCAGACAGCAATGGGTCCGGCGGGTCGTTGAAAGTGGCTGCGATGGAGATATTTGCTGGTCGCTTAACCGTAGACGACGGCCTGAATGTGTATGGAGATGTTACTGACGGGCTGAGAGGGCCGTCTTGGCTTTGGGGTACGCCTGCTGCCGCAGAAGGTGTGGAGGCGGGGGCGGGGCTGCTGATGACATTGCCAATATCCCATAGTCCTGATTTGTTACGGGAATCATTTTCTTTGTTATTCCCGGTGCGGACTGCATCGGCTCCCGGGTGGCTGCTAGTCAGGAAAGCATCGGGAGGCGGTATGCTCGTGACTTCGGCTAGCGGGTTGGTCGAGAACGAATCCCAACTAGTCTTGGGAAGGGAAGTGGAATCCGTTGCTTCAGCCGTCGTTGGAGAAACCATGTCTCCCCATTCATCGTCCTCCGCATCCGCATCCGCATCCGCGTCCGCGTCTTCCACCTCCTTTAAGCTTGTGGTGCTTGATGCTGGTGGAGGAGTCGGCGCGATCGGCTTGAGAAACGCCGGCAGGGACGCATGGGACTTTGGCGCATTATCAAATCCGGTGAAAGCCAGAGGCAGTGGTATGCCCTTGGCCTGAGGATTTTGTACCGGTGTTCCCGTTGTTGGTTTTATATCACCAGACCCGCTGCTCCAACCAAACGTCGCGAGGCCTTCCCAGTTGTCGTTGCCTTGTCCCATGGCTGGCGTGCTCCCCGTAGAGCCAGGAAGTATAGGGGCCGCCGATAGAGAAGGCAGGCCGCTTATTGAGTGCGTTGGCCGATGGATAGACGCCTTCCGCTTCGCCTTACGGCCGAATACTCTGTCGAGGTCGACCGGAGATGCTGCTGTTGTCGCGTCCCAGCCAAAGCTTTTGCCGCCTGCATTTCGTGCCAGCCCTCCGCGGAAAGGCCGTCCTCCGAATGAATCTTCCTCTATCCAACGACGAACAGTCTTCAAAGTTTCTTGCCGGAGAGTGGAATTTGTCCAGTTGATCCGAACATAATTGTCGTCGTCTCCCGCATTATGCTTACGCAGAGATTCGTGGCGAGATAATCGGTACCACATCTTGCGCTCAGAGATGCTCGCGAAGCTGTCATGTATGACTCGATCCGGTACATCTGCGGGGGAGATTGATGGATCCAAGGTGATGTCTGGCAGGAGACGCTCGAGATGTTGGAGGTCAACCTTGAAGGGCTCATGATCTGGGCGTGTCGGTTTGTCGATCTTGACGGGGCCCTCTCCAGCTTTGCTCCCTTGGTCAATAGATTCCTCCGCGGTTGAACCTGTTGTATCGCGAGATTCCGTATGCTCCTGGTCCCCAGCTGCTCCGCCGCCTTTGGCGATTTCTTGGCCAGGTTGCAGATGTTCTGGGTGAGCGTCTGGTTCTCGGCTTACACTACGGCGTAAGGAAGGCGCCCGCTCAGGGGAATCTGTGGTTCGCTTGGCAATGCCATCATACATCTCAACGAGCTCCAGAACCTTGCCAGAAGCTTTCCTCTGTGCAGGTTTGGGCAAGGCATTGTCTTCAATGGATGTTATGGGGGAGTCGGCGTGTCTCGCGTCTGTCTGGTCGTCGTTTTCGTCATCGTTGTCAGACGAGGCTGAGGCTGATGAATGAGCAGCATCGCGACGTTGCTCAGGGGTAGTAGGGAATCGGTCGAAAATCGGGGTATCGCTGAACTGTAGGTACTCGTGTGAGGGTTCGGCAAGGGATTCGGCGAATTGTGTTGTTATTGGTGTATGGGCAATGAATTCTTTCTCAAACGCATTGGGAGGATTCGTCAAACCCAGACCGATCTGCGCTTGCTCGAGCACAAGCGGAGGCACGTCTGGTATCTGGGGAAGATCCGCTAACGGTTCGGGGTCATCTTTTGTGTAGGTCGATACGTGGTTCGCCCAGGGGTCGGGTGAGGGCTGGCCTGGGGAAGCCATGTGAGGGGCGGTGTTGGGAGTAATGGGAGGTCGCAGCCCCGGCGAGGGTGATCGGCTTCGAGGCCATCTGGGCGTGCTGCTCTTCTGTCTCGGTCTGGGTTCATAACTCGGTGTCAGACCTTCAATCGGCGTAGCATCGTTTCCCCAAGCCCACGGAGATGCATTCGTAGGCTGTCCCGCGTCGGGGGATGCCCAATCGCCAAAGGCATCGTCATCGAGCCAGGCTGACTGGCTGGAAGGTAGCTTCAGGTTGCTCGGGGTGGAGAGGAAAGCGGGTGGGGGAGGTTCGATGATGGTCTTGGAGGGACTGGTAGAGGGCGCATTTGTGTTGTCGGTAGATGCCCACGGGGAGCCCCATGGATCGTCCATAGTGAGAGACTACAATTCATGATGTTGAGAAAGTCGATTCGGGGAAGCCTGCGGTCTTCCGCAAGTGAGGGCGTTGCGATTGAGGGGTTGGCTAGATAGCCATGTTGTTGTCTCCTGGGTTCGCGGGCCGCGACTCGGATGGTCGCAGATGGCAATTCCCTAAGCTGTGCAACAGGAACAGAAGCGAGACTGGAACAAAGAGAGAATGACGAAAGAGTGAACAGGATGATGGCGTTGTCTCAATGGAGTGGACGCGCTAGTGTCAGTGAGGAACTCGACAGCAGAAACAAGCTTCGCAGGCCGAATTGTGAATAATAGATGGACGGAAAAAGGGACATAGGAGATCAGACTGGGCAAGGCAAGGGACGGATTGAGCGTCGCAGAAAGGCAGGGCCAGAACCAGAACCAGAAATGGCATCCAGCTGTGCCAGTTATCCAGGCGACCCGTCGTGGATTCCGGACGTGTCGGAGAGCATCCGTGCACGACCAGGAGTTCCTTCTCCTTCAACTTCAACTCACTGCGTGTCTGGGATTGGAGCTTGGCGTTCTAGGAGTGGGTCTCACCGTTCCAGCCGCGTCCCTTCCCATTGCGGGCACGGCACACACGCACTCCGTCCCGACATTTAGCCACAATCGATAAGATACTCGATAAGATGGAGATATATGATAAGATAAACAATGCCCAGCACCGCATTCCGCCGATTGCGGATGACATGCCACCAAACATTGGAGGGGCAGATCAAAAGACCAAAGGATGCCATGGAATTCTTCTAGAACACGTCAAACGCTGTCTACAATACCTACCACCTACCACCTACCACTTACCTCCCCGCGAGCCTCGAGCAAGGTAGCAAGACCAGCACTCCAACACGTTAAGCCTAGACAGCGAGAGGCAAACTTTCTCGTTCTTGTGGTTAGGTTGTCTTGCCGGTGCTTACCAACCCCGCGGGCTCACACAGTCACACTGCCATTGGGTGGGGAACAAGCACAGCTTTGATTTCAAATGAGGCGTATTTGACTTGCTCTTCAACCTCGCTTTCAGCTCCATTGCCATACTCGGTGTACTGCACTTTTCCGACGTACCCCTCTACGCAGCATCTCTCTCTCTCTCTCTCTCTCTCTCTCACTTACCGAATTCACTTCTATAACTCCAAAGACTCCATCATCAGCATGTCGCTTTCCAAAGTGAAGCACATTGTGCTCGTAGGACCCCTCATTTTCCCTCCGTGTAAGCACCAAACGTCGACTGACTGGCTGTGTAGGTCTTGTCTGGCAAAGGTGGCGTCGGAAAGTCTTCAGTGACGACACAACTGGCCTTGTCTCTCGCTCTGGCGGGCCACTCTGTCGGTGTACTCGATGTCGATCTCACTGGACCTTCAATCCCTCGCATGTTGTCGATTGAAGCCGAGAAGGTGAAGCAAGCCCCTGGAGGTTGGCTCCCCGTGCCGGTCCACGATGCCGTCGAAGAAAAGGGCATCGGCTCATTCCACGCCATGAGTCTCGGGTTCCTCTTGCCCAGACGCGGCGATGCCGTCGTCTGGCGCGGGCCTAAAAAGACGGCCATGGTCAGGCAGTTCCTTTCCGACGTCTTGTGGGATGAGACCGACTATCTGCTCATCGACACACCCCCGGGTACTAGCGATGAGCACATTTCCCTTGCCGAGACACTGCTGCGAGACGCTCGGCCTGGCCAGGTCGCGGGTGCTGTCGTAGTCACAACACCGCAGGCGGTTGCCACGGCGGATGTCAAAAAGGAGCTCAACTTTTGCGTCAAGACCAACATCAAGGTTCTCGGTGTTGTTGAGAACATGAGCGGCTTCGTCTGCCCACACTGCTCAGAGTGCACCAACATTTTCAGTTCCGGCGGAGGAGCCGTCATGGCTCAGGAGTTTTCCGTGCCGTTCCTCGGCACCGTACCCATCGACCCCCAATTCGGCGAACTTGTCGAGTCCGGCAGGAGACCACAGTACCCCCAAGGGACGCAAATCCACGGCCAAGACATTGGCCACGCCGATAAAGAGGGCGAGACGAAGGGCGATACTCTTGTTGAAAAGTATCAGGACTGTTCGCTGTCCCACATCTTCAGCGAAATCACGTCAAAACTCACAACAACGGTTGAGGCGCAAGCACAGTCATGAGTAAATGAACCATCTACAACATCAACTCAAGCAGTAAACTCAAGGCTCAGTATCCGTCCCGTGCTGCAGGTTTTGGTCACTGGCGAGATGAAGACGCTCGGCTTGGTGCCCAAGTCTGGGCACATACGTCCACGGTTGCCAGGGGTCGAGTACTGCAACTGCAACTGCAACTGCAACTGCAAATGCAAATATCGGGGCGCTGCACAGGAACACTGGGCAATGGCGAAGCCGAAACAGCATGCAAATTGGCAGCCCAAGACGCATCAGAGATATTGGGGAAATTCACAAAACACCAAGTACGAATAGCTCCACGTTGACGGGCCTGACTCCGCCGTCGTTGACAATGTCCGATGTGCGGCCCAGTCATCGATTCGCAGGAAGCTTGGAAGCACGTGAGGATGCATCGAGATTGGTGGCATCCCTGGTGCCTCGGATGGGGAAAGCCCCATAAAAACATGGCGGTACCTGATTGACAGGTACCTTGCCTTGCCTGAGTCGCTGTCAAACGCCTGGGAAGTTGGAAGAACACGACTTTTACGGTTTCACCGCATGTCCAGATACTCGTGTGCATCTACTTGATACGGGAAAGAGATGCATTCCCTTCACTCTATCAATTTACCGTGCAATTCATCACATGCTGTTCTCTCAGACTCAATCGCCTTAGGTGACATGTCACTATGCCACCGGCATGACTGTACAAAAAGGTAGGCTAATTCTGGGTGGTCCTGAAATGCTTACCTACACTATTTGTACAGCCTGGAAGTTACCCCTCCATGACAGGTCGGGTGGTTTTTTATCTTGGGTCCAGGCCTAGGGCTGCGAAAAATGACGTCTGAATTCCGTTCTTCAACGAGACACGTCCCCCCTGCAGTCCCTAAGGTACCCAAGCCACCAATGTCTTTCCCTGTCTCGCAACCTCTAGGATGTCTTTTCCGTGCTTTCCCGGGCATAGCTCTCCACTGGCATAAGGTAGGGACTGAGTATGATTGCAACTTGCTACGGTATGAAGAAGATGAGGGGGGGGGGGGACAGGTTTATCAGCAGGGAAACACTGGGCAATCCCAAAATGGCTGTCTGCAGCGTAGAGTCGGTCAAGAAATACCGCCAAAGAAACGTTGCCATTCGAGAAGTGCGCAAGTGAATAGGAAGGTAAGGTAGGTACGGAGTACATGCGAGAAAGTACCTCCATGTCTGTTTTAGCCATAATGACCTCCCAGTTACAAGCTCCCGCGGGCTGCGGCTTGCATCCTCGTAGCTTGGGCTGAAATTTTTGCGTGGAGAGCCGGGGAGGGGTCGCCCCATGCTTGCCAATTGTCGCTCAATTTGCAGAAACAACTTTTTTTTTTTTTCTTAACCCACTGGAACAACGGTTCCCCTCCACCACGAACCACAACAAGCACATCCACATCCACATCCACATCCACCACGACGGAATCTCTCCCGGAAGCTTCAAAATTGACAACCTACCTTCCCACGCCGATAACTTTCTTCGGTTTGTGCGACACGCGATCCTCTTTTCTCAACCCGACAACAACTCTATGATCAATACACAAATCTAGCCACCCTGCGACGGTGATCTCAATATTGGTGGCATTCACGCTGCCCCTCGCTCTACGACCCCAGCCGATTTCTGGCCATCTATGAACCAAGTCGACCTCCTACGCTTCCTCTCCAAGCCCGCAAAGTAAGCCTCTCATCCTTCTCCTGAGACATCCAATGGAACTACCACCTATCGCATGCTCGGTCTACTGTTCAATCCCATCCTACAACCATTGGCCTTCTTCACAACATCGGCGCATCCCGCTAACATCATCCTTCCGTAGGCCCAGATAACACCTGCCTAAACACCAAGCACAAAACACACCTCCATAGAAGCATCGCTCTTCTACTACGCTCCTCTTCCACCATCTCTCCGACCTCCCATCGCGCAGATATCCTCGTCTGCCGGGCCCGATACTCCACCACAGGTATCGGTTTCTGCCAGAGCGAGGCCCTACAACAAGACACAATTCCGATCCTTAGGGTTATTTTCCTACCCCTCAACGCCCGACCTCCCTAACGTCCTCAAGTGACGTTGCACCTCTTATACACTGTTTGCTGCTGGCTCCGCCAGCCTCCAAAATTGTCCACCCTCCTGTGGGCCTACTCTCTCAAACGAACGCCGCAAAGTTCGTTTGAGCGGTAGCTAGTGTCCCGCGGACTTCTAGCCCTTTACCGGGAAAGTCATCAACATCTAAGCCTGCTCTCTCTCAAGCTCCCGGGTTGCGCCCCAAGAGCTAGTCCTGCAGAAGATGGTCAACCCCTCGGTCCCCAACGACTACGCCCTCTCTCCGGCTGAGGCTACTCCTCATCTGACAATCAATCATGATGTCGCTGCTGACCTAGACTCGACCAACGCCTTCGAAGGTAATATGCTTAGAAATAGCAAACCTCTACTTCGACCACTTGCTGACAGACATGTTTTCCAGGCCCTGAGAAGCTACTCGAAGTGTGGTTCGCTCCTGGCCCCGAGTCCCTCCCCGCTAGCGCCCAGCCCAATGGCTTGAAAGCTGTCTCCGCCGATACTTGGGTTACCATGCTCGATATGGTCAACTGCAAGATCCTGTCCGTCCTCGAGTCCGACTCTGTCGACGCCTACCTCTTGTCTGAGTCGAGCTTGTTTGTCTTTCCCCACAAGCTCATCCTCAAGACTTGCGGCACGACTACTCTGCTCCTGGGCTTGCAGCGACTGCTCCATATCGCGGCCGAACACGCCGGCTTCCCGTTCCACAACGCCAAGGAATCCACCAATATCAAGGCTGCTGCGACCCCCTACCGAGTCTTCTACAGTCGCAAGAACTTTTTGTTCCCTGACCGCCAGCAGGGTCCCCATCGTAGCTGGAGATCCGAGGTTAAATACTTGGATGACCTTTTCGAGGGTGGCAGTGCCTACATGGTCGGCAAAATGAATGGGGACCACTGGTACCTCTACATCACCACGCCGAACAAAACCTTGACGCCCCCTAGGACCCCGGACGAGGCTGAGGAAGCTGCTGCATTCGCGGCCAGGATTCCCACTGGTAGTGTGGCCAGCTTCAGCAGCGGCTTCGAGGAGCGCAGTGACGAAACTCTTGAAATTCTCATGACTGATCTCGACCCTGAAAATGCGAAGCAGTTCTACTTGGCGGACGCGAGTGCGGTCGCTACCGACAAGTTGCACTTGCAGCAGACCCAGGCAGCTCGGGATAACGCCCACCAGAGTTTGGGTGACATGTCTCACGTTCATGAGAAGGCGGGCGAGGAGCATGTCGATGTCTTTGAGAACATTGGCGAGTCTGACCTCAACGATGGGGATCGTGCCGCTACCGAGGCTCTGACTACCGAGGGTCACGCTATTGGAACTGTCGTTTCCGAGGGTTGCGGCCTCTCCAGCGTGTACCCGACCAGCAAGTATCCCGGGGCTCGCGTCGACGCCTACCTCTTCAGCCCCTGTGGGTTTTCCGCCAATGGTGTCATTCCTGCCATCGCCGACGAAGAAGACGGCTCGCAGAACGAGAAGGGCGGAAATGCCGCTCACTACTTCACCGTCCATGTCACTCCGGAGCCCAACTGCTCCTTTGCCTCTTTCGAGACAAACGTTCCTGGAGGTCAGAGTGGCCGTACCACGGCTGAGATCATCGAGCACGTCGTTGACATTTTCAAGCCTGGCCGCTTCAGTGTGACTCTGTTCGAGGCCAAGGGCAAGAGCGCAAACCCCTACGGCATGGGAGACTATGCCTCTCGAGGGACTGCCGTTCAACGTCTTGTTGACCCTGTCCGTGGATACCGTCGTATTGACCGCGTAGTCCATGACTTTGAGGATTACGACCTCGTCTTCCGTTTCTACGAGCGGGATGACTGGACTGGCGACCGTGAGGCCCGTCTTGGAGAGGAGATTTGAGTTGCCCTCCCCGAGGCGTCGGCTATGTTTCCCTTCATCGAGCGCGTGATGCATCCGGTCATATTCTGTGCGGTTGCCATCCCGTCCAAAACACGCTCGTTATATAGTAAACACATATCTACGCATGGTAGTTTCATGGTCGGATACTCCCCATCAGTAGCTTCAGCAACAGGATCTGTATCTGAAAACAAATTGTTCCGTCAATATATCATGATTTAGAGTCCCCCACACGCCGCCTCCCTCTATTAGCCTTGCCTATTTGTGTGATAATCCGAGCTCGCTTCACTCGGTGTCCGACTACTCACTCGGCTTCGATCCCGATGCGATTGATTGCTGCGTAGATTATGTTTCTTCCACGCTTCACCAGGCCGGCTGAAAAATCGCAGCCATGCGGTTCAGCTACGAATTATTGACCAGCCTCGGGCCGTTATTGACATGTTTACTGATACTGGCCAGGGGAAGCCCAAGCTTGAGCTGGATCTGCCAACCACGCGGAGCTTTCTGAGGCGTTTAACGCTGCTCAGTAGCAGCCATGTTCTGGAATGCATCGGATCGATAGACCTTTGCGTTCCGATGCAGCCGTGCTCCAGCCCACAACCACCCCAGATGGCCGTTGGACCCCAGTGACCAGTGCCTGCTTTAGTCTCGGGCTGGAATGTTGAGAGCCCACCCGCCACGCCAGCAAGTGCTGGCAGCCATCGCGAAGACACCAGCCATCCCGCTTCAGGTGATATATGAAGCTGCTCCGAGAAGGATATCGAAGTGAAGATGATGGAAACTCAAGCAACAGTCAAGCATCCGATCAACCCTCGCCGCCTTCTGCCATGGCTCCTTCTCTCAAAGGCGACGACACCGTCAGTGTCGTCGAGTCGTTGGAGACAAAGTCCTCCATGTCGGGAAGCGATGTTTCCACAAAGTCCCCGCCGAAGCCTCTACCGATTGTCATGATCGCTGTCATGCTCCTCATGATCGTCGCGTCCGGTGGAGGTCTCTGCCTTTCGGCTGTTCAGTTTCGGCCTTCAAAGACTGGCGAGCGTGACTGTCTCAGTCAAAGCTTCATCCTATTTGGTGTAAGTTCCCCCGCTCTAGTAGCTGTGGCTCACTGGAATGATGGCTAACGATTCTTCGCAGTCGATGATCTCTCCCATGTACGTGGTGTTGCACATCATTGTGTCGTTCCGCAACTACCAGGTTGTCAAGAGACAGTCGCTACAATCACCTCTGGTATCGTGGGCTGTCATAGTTGCCCGACTGGGTCTCTTGCTATGGATTCCGGCCATGATTCTCTCTTCGGTAGCTCTGTCACATTACCCCGGCTTCGTGACACAAAGCCCCATTACCGAGCTCAACTTCTCAGTATCCGTCGTCGGAATGTACGTCACAACTTGATGATGTATCGCATGAAATGCATCTTGAACTGACATCCTTCGACTAGACTGTGCAGCATTGTTGTCATTCTTGTGCTGGAGATTGCATCACACCCATTCGAGCTGCCCTGCTTCAGGCGGCGCAACACCGTTACATGTCTAGTCAGCGCTTTCGAAAAGGACCTGAAGGACGAGGAAGCCAAGCCTTCAAGCCGGCCTAACAGCCGTCCTCCGACCCCTCCCGCCTACTACTACTTCCCTGCAAACCATCGACACACGATCCCGGCCCCGGCAAGAGCCAAACTCGTCCGCAAAGCCAGCTATCCCAGACGCCGGGAGCAAATTCCCCCCGTCCCACCAATTCCGTACCCGCACCCGGACTCCCTCGGCATCATGCTCCCCATCGCAGAGCCGCTGCCTCCTCTCCCCGAGCTGGAACAGACCTCCGTCGCGCCGGCCATCAAGATCACCCCCGCCAACGCGCCTGAATGCCTCTGCCCTGGGAACGGTAAGCTCGCCCCGCCGGCGAACAAGGACAAGCCGTGTCCCCCTCCCCCCGGAACGGCGTGGGCTAAGGATTGGGAGCAGCTTGCCGTTGATACCGGCGTGCGGCGGAACGGGTCGTTGAGCGACTACGGGTCTACCGTCGGAACGGATACGCTCGACGGAAGGTTCGATACCCGTGGCGTCGCGTTGAAGCCGCCTCTGCCTTCGATTATCATCACACATAGTCCGGAACAAGTCTGACAGCCGAAATGTGGTGGAAAGTTGAATGACGTTTATTTCCGTGTGAATTCTCAGAATCTTGTACTACTTGGTTGTCTGGATAAAGCGAGGTTATGGTCACGGGTTATGGGTCATGGATTACGGATTATGGGTTATGAGCAGATGAAGCGTTCTTTTGTTGCCTCCGCGTGTCAATCTTATTGGATTTCTTTTGTAATCAATCTCACTTACATTTTTCTTGAATGCTGCCCGCGTTGTAAGCTTGCGACAGCCTGACGTTCTTCTACCTATCCTTCTTGAGGTTGAAGTTATCTCCCTGCGAATCTGACACGCCTTACAGCCACTTACATGCCATATTACCCCAAAATCCCGTTTAGTGGCTTGGCTTCGTATCTCGTGTTGACCGTGATAGGACCCTTAGGACCGCTCAGCCACTCCGACGCAAGCATTTTCTTGGCATCGTTTTTCACATTCTGTTGAAATTGCGTGAGATTTACGCCCGAGCAAGCAGACCAGCCATACCGCAGGAAGCCATCGCAGGCTTCGTAATGATTGACATGATGATCTGCACATGCACGAGACGCCAGATGCTTAGCATGCCTAGCTAAGCAGACATTCGGAGCTGTGTGAGTCTTACATTGGTATCAATTTCATGATTGATGGTGGTATGCTAGCGATCTGGGGGGCTATCGGATGGATCTCAATGAGTATATAGGTAAGGGCACGACATGAAAAACTCAGTCGCCTCTAAGATATTGAGTCGTCGCTACTCACTCAAGATTTCGAACTCTACTCTTACGGAAATCTACCCATAATCAAAGGCGAGACTGGTTTATCACTTTCGAACTCACTGAACATGAAGATCCAGAAGAAGCTCCTTTCGTCCGCTGTTTCCTCGGCCAGCTTAACGGCCTTTCCAACCGCCACGATATTCTCGGGTCCGATCCAAGGCATCTCGACGAGCCGCCCAAACGCATTATCTCCAGTGAATAAGTTTCTCGAAATCCCCTATGCCTCTATACCTGAACGGTTTTCCCTACCTCAGCCACCGAAGCCGTGGGTTGACACTCTCAATGCCACAACATTTGGGCCGGCATGTCTCCAGAACTTTGGCATCAACGGTAAGATACAGCTCTTCTCACTCGCCCCTCTGCCTCTGTTACTGACCTGATGTTCCTCTCAAAGAGCTCGGCCCAAGACCAGAACTCCTCGAGGGTCTTTTTACCACTCCAGCACCACCCGAAAGTGAAGACTGTCTGAGCATCAATGTCTTCGCCCCCACAACCAGATTCCCGGACGCCGGGCTTGCCGTGGTCGTCTTCATCCACGGTGGTGGATGGCAGCTGGGCCACGGCAGACTTGATCTTTCTGCTTTCGCGGCATATGAAGACATTGTCGCCGTAACTCTTAATTACCGCACAAATGGTACGTTGCGTCCAAGCTATGATGATGATCATCATCTACAGAAGCATCAAGAACTAACGCATGCGCTGTATAGTCTTTGGCTTTCCTGCATCACCTGAGATCCCACCAAGCGAACAAAACCTGGGTCTACACGACCAACGTCTGGCTCTGGCTTGGGTACAAGATAACATCGCCACCTTTGGCGGCGACCCGTCCAAGGTGACAATCTGGGGCCAGTCTGCTGGATCCTTTTCCGTAGACCACCACCTGAAAGCCTACGCCAACGACACTTTGGTCCCTTTCCGTGGTGCCATCATGTCCAGTGGGCAGATGAGCTTCGGGCACCTTGCACACCCATCGCCTGGGATCGAGGCCTGGACGGGACTGTCGAGTCTAGTTGGATGCGCCAACTCGTCAGATGAACTAGAATGTATGAAAGCCGTCCCAGCGAAAACCCTCATCAACACCATGCGGAAGTATCGTATCACTTTCGGACCGCAATTGACAACTCGACGGTGCTCAGCAAGCCAGGCGAACTATGGAGAAACGGGGATGTTGTCAAAATTCCGATCCTGACGGGTATTGTGGAGGAAGAAGGGCGCGGTCTGGTCAACGATAAAGTCAACATGACGGCCTTCTTTGATGCATACCTTCCGTCAGCCCTCGTACCGTCCGAAGACCGGGAGATGATCATCTCCATGTACCGCTCTGATCCTAGTGTCATCACCGACTTTGACCTTGCCTCAGCCATTTATACTGACTTACTCTGGTCTTGCGTACGTTATCTGTCCAACCAATTCTCACCAAACCTCGAAGTTGCTGACAACAGGCGCAGCCTCAATCTATACTTGCGTCGACAGCATCTTCGAACAATATCTCTACCTGGCGCTACCATTTCAATACCTCAATCTTGAATCTCTTACCCAAAGAGTACGACTGGCTGGGCAGGTTTCACGGCTCAGAGATCATTCTTCTCTTTACCGATCCAGATACCACACCTTATACCCCTCAAACGTACGCAGTGTATGAATACTTCAGGGGGGTCATTGCGCGATTTGTCAAGAATCCTTCCGCAGGGCCTGGGTGGCCGGCCGTGGGATCGTCTTATGCCCCGCTCGATGTCGCGATCTTGGGGGATGTGGGTGATACCTCGAGCGTCATGACGGTATCGAATTCTACAAGGCTGGATGAAAGGTGCAAGCTTTTTGAGAAGATTTGGCCCAAACTCAAGGCCATTAGTTAAGAGAGGTTATGGGTCATCACCTTGAGATCACTAGGATGCTTAGCCAGTGGAATCGATTATGTTGGTCCAAGTACTCTACGCATCTTCACCAAATTCCACACCATTCGACAACGCTAGCCAGAATTACCCTCTGCTCTGTAAATCATGAGTTACGCAACTCATGACACAACCCTCACCGTGCTCCCAGCCTCGCCCTTCTCAACCCCCTCCACCCTCGGCCCAATCTTCCTCCAAATCTCCTCCGCAACATCCTCCAGCGTGCCCCCAGCATCAACCACAACCAGATCCTCCTCCTCCTGCCGGAACTCCCGATCAACCCTGCCCTCCTCGCCCAGCCCGCCATCAGGCCCAACTCGCCCCAAGCTCAGCCCCCAGAACAGCTCGCGTACCCGCTTCTGGAACTCGGCCTTTTCGTACACCTCCCCGCCCCAGCCCCCGCGCTCTCTGGCGACGGCCTCTTCGAGGTCGAGAAACAGAACGAGATCCGGTCGGGGGAGGCCGAGTTCCGGTTGGCGTGCCCAGTGGAGGTTCAGGTGGGGGTTCTGTTTCGCGGCGGAGTAGACGATGCCGGAGTGGTAATACCTGTCGCAGATGACGGTGTATCCTGACGCCAGGAGATTTTGGATGTTTTTTCTGTCAATATGTAAGTTTCGTGATGCTCCATGGGCTCACGAGATGTTGGAGACTTACACTGCTTCCCATCTGTTTGCGCTAAAGAGGAGGTGGATGACGTGGTCTTCCATCTCGACCGAGCTCTTGAGATAGGCATCAATCATCTGGCCAATAGGCGTTGTTCTGTCTGTGAGATGAGTTCAGTCAGTAATGCTACGTACTTGATGAACATGCATTTGGGGAAAAAAGGTGGAAAACGGCGTTAACGTCGTCAAGTTAGAAAACACACACCCGGAAACCGCATGACTTTGACCTTCTTCCCCTCCTCAATCAACCGCTGCTCAAGCAACTTCACCTGCGTAGTCTTGCCGCTCCGATCAAGGCCTTCAAAGGCAATGAAGGCGCCGCGAATGACACCCGCCGGCGGCGTGGTGACGGGGAGGGCATCCCCGGCCTGCCCGCCGGTTGCGGCCGAAGTCGCTATGGCCGCCGTGGCGAGGTCATTGATCGATGCCATTGAGTCTCGGAATGCCGTTTCACAGCACGTTTCGGTACTGCAATATCTACCTTTTATGATCCAATGAGCGGATATGAGTGCGGGCCACTGCGCTGGTGAGAGATGCGAGTGGCTGTCGAGTGGTGCGGTTCTGGATGCTGAGGTGTAGTGGGCACATGCGGGCCGAGTGGAGCCCCGGAATACGGGCGTTGGAGCGACCGGGCAGGGTGCGTGGGCGGCTGTCACGTGGGACCAGATCGCGGACCAACACCAGACGGCACATCTTGAAGCACCCGGATGAATCGGTGGATGATGCGACGACGGATGATGAGGTCCTGACATGGGCTACACACTTACACGGCCAGAGTTGTTGGCTGGGGTTGATCACGGGTATGGTAGCACTGATGCTTCATGTGGTCAAAAAATAATAAAACCGTCAATAGTGCTTTATTGATGACAACATCAATCGTTCAAACGAAATCCAACAATAGCAATACTCCGAACCCGGCTTTGTACAAAACATGACACCCATATCCGTTGTTCCTACACCAAGAGTGCCCCAGGGTTCCCCGTCGCTTAGTCCTTGCTCGTCCATCGGAAATCCCGAACAACCGTTGCAAACGCCGCATTCATCATGGACCCGTGATTAAAAAGATGGTGAATAGTTGGAAGCGAAGCATAGTCGAGCCCAATAATCAAAGGAAAGCAAGCCATCATCAGCATTCGGCAACCGCCACCTCTGATTCATCTTTGGCGCTTCCACTTTCCCACAGCTCAAAGCTCTCACCCGTGCCCTCCATTGGCTCCAAGAGCGCGGCCTTGGCTGCTGTCTCTGTGGATTTGCCCATGAGCTCGTCTACACCTTTTTCTTCCACGGGAACCTCAAGCGGGACTACTGTGGGTTCCGAAACGAGCTCTTGGAGTTCGGGGACTGCGGTTTGAGGGGCCACCTCGTTTTCTTCTTCCTCTTCGTCGGCAGGAATGATGATGATCGATGACTCGTCGCAGCCGAAGGCATAGAATTCGCTAGCGTCCATCTCGCCCAGAGCTATCCTCTCCTTCTCAAAGATCATCTCGTCCTCACTGGTACGACGAGCAGAGCGACGTGCAGATGTCTGGCTAACGTCATCGACAGGCGGTACATTCTCCTTGTCGCGACCCTCTGCGCGGTCTCTGCTAGCCTTGCGTTCACTCTCTTCATCCGAGCTAATGTCAAGGACACAAGTTCCGTGCTGCAGCATGTTGGTCATTTCTTGCTCTGGCGTATCCTCGTGGATATCAAAGAACCAAGATGCCTTCAGGTCAGGCTCGTCAAGGTCCTTGACGGCATTCCGCGAGGACGTGGCAACGGTGGAACGGGCAGCATAGCTAGGGATAGTCCCCTTGAGAGCAGCATCGAGGCTGAATGGTGCCGAGGAGGATGAAGGCAGGTTGAAGGCAGGCGGGTCTACGCGCGTATAGGGACCAGCGGTTCTACGACGGTTTGAAAGGATGCCAGACCGCTTGCCGCGAGTCGGCGAACGGCCAGCGGGAGCTGAGAGTGGGGAGGACTTGGCGATAGCGGTGTTGATCTTCGCTGACGGCGATTTGGGCTGGAGTAGACTGCGAGGGCGAGGGAGGGTAGGCCTTGAGGAATTCAACACGGAGCTTGCGGCGAGGGGCGCGGCCTTTGTGAGGATGAAGGAGGAAGGCTTGAGGACATCCTTTGACGGGTAGAAGGCTTCGGAGCTCTTAGATCGCTTAGAAAAAGCAAACGGGTCGACATTTTCGCAATCGTCGGTTTCTACGCTGTCTGAAGCTTTGCGCTTGCCGCCAGTAGCTGATGGAGCAGCTGTTGAAAGAATTAGCAATCAATTTTGCAGAAGTATTTGGACATGTTTTGGGGCAGGTGCTCAAGATGGGGGGGGGGGGGGGGGTTAGGCGCATTCCAGCAGCATGGCGGGCGGATCTCATGTGAGAGCGCCACGTCCAGCGTCTGCGACGTCGCAAGTACGGAACAAGAGAACATGAGAATTGCGGGGAGAGGAACGAGTGTGTTTGGTCGTGGATTGATCAAACATACCATTCTGTCTATTCTTAATGCTTGTCAGATTCTGCAGTCGAGTACCGTCGAGGGGCGCAAAGGGTTGACGGGAAATAGACGCCATCGTGTGTGGATCGAAGCAGTTGTGCGCGCAACAGGGCGAGTGGATGTGGTGTTGTGGTTCCGCAGTAGGATGCGATGCGGTGCGGTGCTTCGGGAATGGGAGCAGCCCAGCCAGCGGCTTTCAGTCGATGCCCTGGGTCCCAGTTGCTCTATGATCGACAGTCGGCTCGATTCGTGAAGAATGGGGACTCGTGATTGAATTGCAGCGTCCCCTCGTCGATAAGTTCCCCAGGAAGGAAAATCGGTGCCAGACAGACTCGACGGTGTTGAAGCTCTGCGGGTGGCGGTTAAGGTGTGCGTTGGGATGGAGTAGCGAGTGTGAGGATTTGTTTATTTTTGTTATTCTCTTCCGCGCAGTGGAATCGTCGAGTTGGTTGCAGGAAGAGAGTGACCGAAACGGGGTCGACGAGCTGGCGTGGGGTGGGAAGGGGGGGGGATAGAGAGAGAAAAGAGGGCGAGCGAGGTGAGCGTCGGTAGGGAGCAGGGATTACTCTCAGGAAAGGTAGGGACTGAGATTGAGATGCGGTCTCGTGAGCGGGAGAGAGACGCGGAGAGGAAGAGAGGGCGCGCGCGCACGGAACCGGGGGTGGGATAGAGAAGGGCGTGTATCGCTAAGGTAAGGCCTGGGTTTGGGTCCTGGGCCTGGTCGGCGACGCGGCGTTGGTCGCTGGATGCAAGGCCCTGGGGCTAAGAAAGAATAAAAAAGTGGTTTGAAGCTGAGTTGCGCTACTGCGTGAGGGACAGAGATGGACCACCCAGTGCCCAGAGAAGCAAGCGACGGTATGGTATTTCGAGGAAGACGGGTGTGTAAGGAGTCAACTAAGGACGTTTAGAGAGTAGAGACCAGGAATCTAAGTGTAGGCGCCTTGTCAGCAGTTGGAGAGAGATACTTGGATGATGGGATTTGTAGGAGGGGAAAGAATAGGGCAGTCTAGGGATGACGGGTACCTTGCTCTAAAAGAGACGCGGAGGCAGCGTACAGCAAACACGGTCTGGCGTCTGGGTGGAGTAAGACTGTAAGAGTTAGTTCTCAGCCGATGGAGACGGAGATGGGACGTGGAAGAGATGGTGTGCGGTGTGGTGTGCCAGGGCAAGGAGGCGAGGGATGCCGGGCAGGGTAAGGTAGGACAGGATAAGATGGGGGGAACAGAGTAAATTGATCTGCCATCTGCGTTGTAGGTATTGGGATCATGGATGCTTGCTCTCTTACCTCGAGAAGTTGGAAGTTGAACGAGTTGGGTCGAACGAATGCTCAAACCTCCAGAGACGGGCGCGTTCAGCAGTGTGCCGGTGCGAGATTGGGTGGTTCCAAGACGTCGAACAGCGAACATCTGGTGCCTCGACAGGCAATAATGGGAAGTGTTCGTACGGATGGAGAAAGAGAGATGAGACTGAGAGAGAGACTGGAAGCGCCAGAGACAGCGACGAGACAGAGACAGAAAGCGACGTGGTAAAACGCGAGAGTTCCGTGACAAGGCCAATGGAGTCGTCGTATTCCTGGCGTGTCGAGATGGGCCAATGCACCTAGGTGAGAGACACACCGCGGACCACACCAATCATCCAAGGATCAATCAGGGAAAGTCAGATGCAGCTTTCCTCTTTCCTTGCCGGGCTTGCCAGTCGTCAGTGCCTTCCCTGCGAGTCTGACCGGGCACGTACCCACGTACCCACGTACCTACATAGTAAGAAACACCACACGTAAAATCCCGTCAGGAAAGAGAGACTCGTCGGAAAAGTGGGTTTGTAGGAAAGCGACGTTCATGCGACGGGCTGTGTGCATCATGTGATTGGTCGGCGCGAACAGGAAAGGCAGCAGCGGCCAAGGGCACCTCACCCAGAATGCAACTTCCCTTCCAGTCTCCACTCTCCGTACCGCGATACACGGCCAATTAAACGCGTCTTCAATAAGTGGGGGTACAGCTTGCGACCAGCCAATACCATCTCGTCTACGGATACCTTCAAGATGAGCAACACCAAGAGACCTGAAGCGGGCTGCCTTTACGTTACCTTTACCTACCTGTAAGATACCTTGTCCGTAATTAGAACTGGCCGAAAAGAGCGCGACTTGAATTCAAGGGAGAGTGCGAGACATGCGAATCTGCCCTACGCGTTGATAAAGCCCATATTGCCCGCTAGATTTCCCACCAAGGATCCGTATCCGTACAGTGATCCTCGTCCATCAGTCACCATGGCCCACGCGCAGGGCCCCCCTCGCACCCGTCGGCAGTGCGTGTGGGCATTCACCTTCCGAAATGACAGCTGCCCATGCAATTGCATCCTCTCACCTCTCATCCCACCTTTCAAGTCTCGCACTATATCCGTCCACATCCGTACAGTCTGTCACTGTATTTGTAGTCCATTCAGCAGATCATCTTGGCCACGGATAACTTTACCTTACTTTGCTCAAGTGGGTACCTGATCTGACTGCCATCACTTTCATCTCAACTCGCTCCGTGAGCCGTGAGCACTGTTGAACCTCTGGCCATAGCTCCCGCAGCTCATCCGTACATGACTTACATTCATTATTCTTCATTCTTCCTCCCTTGGATGAATAGGAAACACTACTCTCAATGTTCTGCAAACCATTTGCGAGTATTGTCAAAGCACACGTTTGCCACATTGCTTATTCCTCTTCTCTCTCTCTCACACTCTACCTCACCATCAAACAGCTTCCCTCATTCCAACGTGCCTGGCCGCGACCAATCGAGCCCCTCACCGTCGTTGGCTTAGAGTGTTAGCCGCCCTCACCCACACTGCGGCCCTTCTGACGCAGGGGGTAATATCGCCTACTCTGCTCTGCCACTCTCCCAAACCTCGTATTGGGACCTTGGTTCGTCAGTTTGCTGAGCACGCATTCGCCGGGTGACCTCATGCCTCTTCCATGGCCTTACTTGATGACCCCTCTCTTGTTGGACTTGACAGCTGCCCGCAGAACCGCGAGAACGGCACGCCAGGTCTCTCATCGCGGCCGCCCAACCTCACGGGTGGCCAGACGGCCCATGGCCTTTCGCCTCCCGCGGTCCGGGTCTCTTTCTTTGCGGGCCTCCGCGCTTCTTGGATGGCCTGACAACTCAAGTGTTGCCCTATAATGCACCTCAACCCTCCTCATGCGTTCATCATCCGTTGGCCCTAGATCATCGAGGTGACGCCAGCCTTTGGCCACATTCAACGCTAACTGGGAAGATCTGGGCCACGCTCATCGTCCTAGCACTTCAGTTCGTCGGTTCGGGGTGTAACTTTTGTGTTGTTGGCCACTTATCCGGGCCTCCCTCGCTACTGATTGACCAAGTTGGTTTGTGGATTGCATGAAGATTAAGCATCAGGGTCCTAGGTTCGTCACATCAAACACAACGTATGGTCACAGTTTCCTTTGCTTTGAAGCACATCTGCCTCGTCTCTGCAATGCCTTCGAGAGTCTACATCTCGAAATGATGAAAGGGCCCGACTACTTGGTCCAGCAGGCTCTCCCATGTGCCTCGCATAGTCTGACGCGGAACATTCACTGACGCCTATCAACTCTGTGTGAACGAGTACCCAGACAGGCTGACAGCATGATCATCCTCCAGGTCTCTTGCGGACAGCCAGCGGTACTATTGGACGTAAATGGCAAACGTCTTTGCACTCGCTAAGGCGGTTCATGCATGCACAAGAAAACGACGTGCTGATTGAGCCACGTCTTCAACCCTGATTCACAATCACCAACCTCTCTGCAACGCTTCCCCAGACAGACTAACAGATATGACGCCTGTGGCATGCAAGGCCCTGACACTGATGCGTCGAGCGTTCAAAATAATGCAGGCTGCCCTTGCTTCAAGCTGTTTCGCCGAAACTGTTCTTCAGTTCTTCGCCGGCAGCTGGTCGAGGGGAGGAGGCTAGTCTTTGAGTCGCAACTCTGCATCAGTGATCATGGATTGCTCCGCAGCTTATTCTTGCTGTGTGTTCCGGCCTGCTGCAGGGCAACATTTTTCTTCTAAACTTACCAGCCGGCAAACGGTCCACCAAGAGCAATCATCTTGTTAACTGATGCGGTGGAGTGGTGGTGCCGTTAACGACGTAACGCGCCGAGCAATGGCACAGCCGTAGCTCGCCAATACATTTGCAAACTTTGAGACATCCATTGTTCTTCCGGCTCATCGAAGATCATCCGGATCAAAAAGACACATAATGAGACACCTCTCGTCTCATTGTGCACATTGTGGCGAGACATGTTCACTGGCATTTCATCCAGCGGCTGGGAGCTGCATGAAGTGCCATAGCGAGTCGTAGTGATCACCTCCAACGTACAAATGCGGTGGTTGGGCTCAGAAATTCAATTCCAATGTCAGCAGCTTTTCTCTTGAATCCCTCTGGTATTGCATTCCTTTTGCCTTTGACTCTGCATCATCATCAATGCCCGCTGCGCTGCAGTCAATGATTCCCGGGCGGGCAATCGGCGCCACGGTGGAGACCTTCGCTTCCGCATGCTAGCGGGCGGCGTGTAGGGACATCGGCGTTTCAGACGACATCTCGGCCGATAGGCCGCACACTACAGATAAAAGGGGAACCAAAAATGAGGAGGCTGGGAGAGTTTCCAGACCAGGGGTGAGGAATTCCCAGCCTCTTTATTTTCTCGAAAAAGGTCTGGAGATTGCTCGAGTGTTTAAATGTCTTTACCCCTCTCTGAGCCCCCCTGCTGCGGACGTGTAATGCGGGTTTGTTCGCCCCCTTGCATGACACCATGGGCTTACACCGGTACACCGTACGACGCCGCCGGCAATGAGCAACCTGGAAGTCGAAGCATCTGTTCGGTGCATTCTGCCATTGAGATGAGTGATTGGGTCTGTTCTCAAGGGGGTTCTGCATAATGATGGACACGTGGCTAGCTTGTGGCAACTTGTGAGACGGGGCGCTCATGGCTGGGACCTGGCAGCGGTGCACTGAGTCGAAGGCTGCGAGTCTCCATTACACTTGGCTGGATGGTCTGGGTAAATGTCGGTTCCTACATCCGGTGAGGCGAAGAGA